CTGGCAAGTTAGCATATCCACAAAAAAAGAGGAAATGCATCCTCTCGAAAGAGAATGCAGCTGTGCACAAAAGACAAAGACGCATGTGCTAACATATATATGCAGATGCAAGCCAAGTTGTAACTATTTGGCAGGGAGCTATTTGGGTGGACCAGATAGTTTGTGGGAACTGTGGACAGATTGAAGATCTCCACATTACAGGATGTTTTCTCCATTGTGTATGGAATCAGGGAGGAAATTAATCCCATATATCATATTTCAGAGTCTCTGTGAGCCATCTCAAGATATCATAGTGGAATTCTGGTGTGGCTAACAGTTTACCATGGAATAAACAGCCTTTTGTTATGTACAGTTTAGGGCTGTTTGCTGTGTCTGCAAAGAAATTGCAAGCTGCATTAGGAAGCATTGCTGTCTAGCTTAATTTGTTGTTCTTGCTTTTGCTGCAGTGCTGGGTTCACAAATGGGTTAAATTCCAATCACCCACAACTAAGAAATCCAAAACTTCCCACCTCTGTGGGAAAGATCTGAGTCCAGACACCCTGCATGTCTTCTGTCCAGGCCACTCCTTCAAGGCAACCTCAAAGCCATCCTGCTGCTCTCCCTTCTTAGGGCTCTTCACCATGAAGCAGAGCTTGGAGTGTCCAGTCTTTCAAACAGAGGATGCCTGCAGAGGACTGTCCTCTGTAAAGTAGAGGACATGGCCTGAAACCCAGCAGACTTGACAAAATGACTGATCCATTGTGTTGTGGACTTGACAACAAAAGCAGTCTCAGGAATTATAGCATTCTTGAATGCATTAGGAGTCAGAAACAAATTTTGTTGGTGTAAAATATAAACAGTGTTAATATTTTAAACAACTCATCTATGTTGTTTCCATTACTCGGACTGTTTTCCACAATTATAGTTGAGCTTCTCACACAATTTATGAGCTCCATATATTTGCATGATATCTTTTAAAAACATACACAAATAGACATTCGAGAAAGTCTTTTGGCCATGAAGCTGCCATTCTCTGCCTTTAAATCAAAATCGTATGGAAAACATATTTATTACAGAGAGACTATTTAGACCCTCTCAAGGAGAAAAGAAATACTTATAGCAGATGTTTCCTCTTAAAAAAGAATGGACTGGAAAAGCCAAGAAGAACTCATCTTGGCCCAACTTAATCTCCAATTGGAGAACAATCCCTGTAGTGTTCACTGTAACAGTCTAGACAACCTCCCCATGCTACGTACAGCTTCTGCCATGAAAAAATGCCTGCTAAAGTTGCTAGCTCTCTTGATTCAATTGAAGGAGCAATGGAAAGACTTACTCTTCAAACAAAAGGGGCAGGAGGAGGCTCAAGTTCTTTAGAATTAATCACCAAAAGCAAATTATGCCATGACTAAGGGAACGCCTCTCCCCATATATACCAGCCCTGTCACTGGGGCCCTCATCTGAAGCCCTCCTCCATGTTCCATCCCTCAACGAAGTGAGGGGGAGTTTGCAAGCAAGGATGCTTTTTTGAGCATCATGCCCACACTCTGGAACATGATTCCATTGGAGCTACGGTTGGTGCCTGCCATTCTAGTCTTTAGGTGCCAACCAAAGACATACCTGTTCGTACTTACTTTGATTAGGTGATCTCTTGATTTTTATTGATGTTTTAATCTCAATGTTTATGTTAATGTGCCACTGTCAATTGGTGTTTGCTTTAATGCTAGATTTAGATATGATTAAATTTTCATGGTTTTGTTTTACTTTTGGGGTTATGAATATATATTATTCATTTCTGTTATTTTGTTTATCTTGGTTTTATTGAATTTTGATAGTTCATGATTTTATTGTTATTGGTTCTTTGTAATCATGTATGGTCATGTTGTCTTTTGTATTGTTTCATGTTGTCATGGATTGTAAGGATGGAAGCCACCCAGAGAACAATGGCTAGTGCGGTAGCATATAAATCAGATGATGATGATGATGATGTCACAGGGTCAGAATCAAAAGAGACAGTGAGTCTGGTTTAATAAATTAATATGGGCCATGGGCATGCCCTGGTGATTCCAAGCAGGCAGTCATCAGCGAATCCCAAGCACAGAGGGTAAACTATCTCTACTACTAACAGGAGTGTCAGGTGGCGAACGCTTACAGCATTAAAGCAACATCAGGGATGCTGACAAATAAGAGGGAGATGTTGGCATGTTTGGAGAACCCAAAGTAGGAAAACACCAACCATACAAAATTAAAACCTTACGAAGGACACACAGACACAAACAGCCTGATGTGAGCATTTAGAGTGGCCTTCTCCCACCTTGTGCCTTCCAGACATGTTTGGACTACAACACCCAGAATTCCCAATAAATGGTCCTGCTGGATGGGAATTATGAGAGTTGCTGTCCAACTGCCTCTGAAGGCCACCAGGGTGGGGAAGGCTGATCTAGAGAACCCCCAAGGGCTGGAGTCAGCTCCCAAGTCTGAAGTTCCACACACCTGCCTGAGAACTTACACCAGGGTACAATGCTATGTTACTTCAACAGAAAAACTCCTACAACAGCTTGCTGCTAGGGAATGCTAGGAAATGTGGGACTTTTTATGCCTAGACATGCATAGCATTGTGCTGTGCAGGAATCAGTAGCTGAACTGAAACTTTCAAATTTGCATCTAATGGATTCTAGCCACCGTTAGCATAACTTAAGTTCCATTCATTTCAGTGGGTCTACTCTAAATCGAGCTAAAATGGGATACAACCATCAGTTCCTATACAAACTAATCTTCTCTGGGATTAACAAGTAAAGTCCTTGCAGTTATTCCATTGCCTATTTTGCTAAGGATGTGGTGAATTATCTGGTCCAAAATGACACAGATGTTTGGCCACCTCTAGGAATTTTAGCGGGCTTGGTGTTTATAGGTAGACTATAGCTAGAAGTGATGGCGTGTGTGTATGCTGAATACATTTGGCATTGATTGCTGTCTTTCCAATCTGCCACGCTAGTAAGTGCTCTACTCCAAGTTGGCTCATGGAAGCAGCAAGAAAACTGATGTATTTTCAGACCGTTACTATGGCTTTTACTTTGTAAAGAGCATACATTTTTTTCTTTGGTGCAAAAGAAAAAATAATAAACTTGTATAGTGAACAGACATTTCCCCTGGAGATTCCGGGAGTGTTATTATCGTTATTATATAAAATAGAATTAGTTTGTTCTCGGTGCTATAAATCCTTAAGTACTCATTGGCCCAATGTAGTTAAGAACTGTCTCTTGCATTTGCAGAAAATTCCATATATACTTCTGCATCCATTTGCATTAGGTTTCCAAAGCAGCAGTTAAAATTCCATTTTCCATAACTGTTTAAAATACTCAGTGATATAGATGTTGGAAAGCCAACTCAAATGATAAATGGAAGACTCTTAGAAGTTTCATGTCCCATCATCCATATTTTTAAGGAGGGGGCAAGCTGCTTTGTTTTGGATTGAACTCCTGGAAAAATAACCCGAAATGAGAAATGAGGGCTCAAGCTGGCATTGCTGGTTCTCTTCATAGGAATAGCTGTCCTGAGTACAAATTTCTTTGTAGAAAAGGAGTAAAAATATTGTGAATTAATTAATGAGGAACACTGCCAACATTAGAATTTTCAAAACCATAAAGCAGAAAAATCTAAAATCTCCAGTGTGGTTTGTTCATTATTTTTGAGGGAAGTTTTATCTCCTTCAGAAATGTTTTCTGATGTTCTTTGGACTGCTTCGACTTCCATGCCATTTTAGGGGTCATTTTAGAATTCTTTCTAAAAAATCCAGTCTTATCACTCTGGAAAGCATGTAAATGGATCCCAGAAGCAAGTACTGGAAGGAGTGGGAACATCAGATATGGATGCTCTGCAACATTCATTCATTCATTTATTTATATTACAATTTATATCCTGCCTTTTTCCTACAAAGGGCTCAAGGCAGCTTACATCATCTCTCCTCCTCCATCTTATCCCCACAACAACAACCCTGTGAGGTAGGTTGGGCTGAGAGTCTGTGACTGGCCCAAAGTCACCCAGTTGGGTCCATGGCTCAGCAGGGACTAGAACCCAGATCATCTGAGTCCCAGTCCTGTGCTCTTAACCACTACACCACACTGGCTCTCTCTCATTTCATAGGCACTGCCTACATAAAGATGGACAATTATGTTAACAGATGCTAAGGTGGCAGATATTCGCAAAGAGGTGGATCCAAACGTATTCCGATTAGAGGTGAAGGCCGCTAAAGGCATGGTCCCATGCATGTTTAGACGGAAAGAAAAAAAGTCAAAGAAAAGCAGCAGCTGAGGAATGCTGAGAGCTGCAGGACTTCTTTCTGTCTGAACACGTATAGGATTGTGCCTGAAGTCGTGGAACGATCAGGCAATGGGATGGCACCCAGAGAATCATGAGATGGTGGGATATAACAAGTCACGTGGTCCCAGTCAGAAGGAAATCCTATTTTGTTCAATTGGGGTTACTTCTGGATAAATGGAAACAGAGTTGCAGCCTAGTATGTGCACCTCAGGCTCCACTGGGATGATACTGGAAGCTCAGCAGTCAGTTGCATACTTGGCATGCACAAGATGCAGGAGCAACTCCTGTAGCATCTTGGATGGGACCATCTCCGGTTGGAAGCCCCGGAGAGCTACTTGCCAGGCAATGTAAAACTGGACCCCCACCAGGGAGGCTTTTGCCTTTGCACTGATTGCTGGGCAGGGTGGGGGTGAGCCAACCCTGGTGAAGACAGCCCTCATTGCAGGTGCTTGCAGGAAACCATGGTCCAAATCAGGACTACTGGTGAAGGGAAGGGGAGCAGCTCTCCATGCCCCATCCCACATCCATATGGCCCGAGGCCAGAAGGCTTGTCCACCTTCAGTAAGCACAACTCTGTGTCTCATGGACCCAAAGCCAGTCTCCGTGGAAGGACGCTTCCTGTGCTCCCAGTCACTCAGGGCTGGTGCCACCATTTTGCAGGCTGATGCACAAACATTGGGTGGAAAAGGGGGAAGAATGGGCAATTTATTTATTTGCTTATTTATTTAAAATTCTTATAAACCGTTCTTTAGTAGACACTCTCAGAACGGAGTACAGTGATTAAAACAGCATAAAACACAAGGTAAAGCATATATGTAATAATCATAAAAATTTAAATATAGCAAACCAAGTAAATAATAACAACACAGTAACAACTGATCATCAACAACCAAACATCATACGATAAAAACAATATAAAATCAAAGCATTCTATTCAGCAATTAAAATAATGGGTGAATAAAAAGAGTTGAACCTGGTGCTGAAAGGGTTGGCCTCAGGTGCACTTTCCCGAGGAGCCAATTCCATATCCGGGGTGCCACTGCCAAGAAGGCCCTTCCCCTCGTGGCCAACTTCCTTCTCTCTTTTAAAGTTGGCTCCTGGAGAAGGACCTCATAGATGAGCTCATGGTCCAGGTAGGTGCATGCTGGAGGAGGTGTTCCTTTCGATATCAGGCTCTAAGCTGTTTAGGTCTTTATATGTAATTGTAAGCACCTTAAAGTGGGCTCAGACCTCAACTGGTACCCAGTGCAGTTGGTAGAGGACAGGGCAATTGCGCTGCTGTGCTCTCCCAACAGGAGGGCCCACCCCTTCCTCCACTCCACCTGCCCAGGGGTTCTGGGGAGCCCAGCTAGCCACTCTCCTGAGCTGGCATTGGCTGCAGCAAGAGGGCAACTGGCAGGCCTCTCCAGGGCCCCCTGTGGGGGGCACTGCCAGCTGCAACTATAGGAGGTGGCCACCACCATCCTGTCCATCCTTCCAGATATACCCCAGTCTACCTGTGGTATACTTCCACAGGTAGACTGGATCCATGGGGTTGCGATGGGTCGGACACGACTTCACGACTAACAACAACAAGGAATGAGGAAACTCCTGGCCATGGATCCAGTCTACCTGTGGTATACTTCCACAGGTAGACTGGATCCATGGCCAGGAGTTTCCTCATTCCTTGTTGTTGTTAGTCGTGAAGTCGTGTCCGACCCATCGCAACCCCATGGACAACATTCCTCCAGGCCCTCCTGTCCTCCACCATCTCCTGGAGTCCACTTAAGCTCACCCCAACTGCTTCAGTGACTCCATCTAGCCACCTCATCCTCTGCCCTCCCCTTCTTCTTTTGCAATCTATTGTTCCCAGCATTAGGCTCTTCTCCAGGGAGTCCTTCCTTCTCATTAGGTGGCCAAAGTATTTGAGTTTCATCTTCAGTATCTGGCCTTCTAAAGAGCAGTCAGGGTTGATCTCCTCTAAGACTGACCGGTTTGACCACCTTGCGGCCCAAGGGACTCGCAGGAGTCTCCTCCAGCACCACAATTCAAAGGCCTCAATTCTTTGGCACTCAGCCTTCCTTATGGTCCAACTTTCACAGCCATACATTGCAACTGGGAAATCCATAGCCTTGACTATACACACTTTTGTTGGCAGGGTGATGTCTCTGCTTTTAAGTATGCTGTCTAGATTTGCCATAGCTTTCCTCCCCAGGAGCAAGCATCTTTTAATTTCTTAGCTGTAGTCCCCATCTGCGGTGATCTTGGAGCCCAGGAAAATAAAATCTGTCACTACCTCAATTTCTTCCCCATCTATTTGCCAGGAAGTGAGAGGACCAGATGCCATGCTCTTAGTTTTCTTAATGTTGAGTTTCAAGCCAACCTTTGTGCTCTCCTCCTTCACCCGCATCAATAGGCTCTTTAGTTCCTCTTCACTTATGTTATCCCTATTGTGCATTGTGTCTTTTGGATTTTTGGAGTGTAAGCTGCTTTGAGGACCTTGGCTACACAGCTAGGTAGACAGTTGAAAATGAAATATGAAAAATATTAATTGCATTCCTAAGGTCTACAAAATTAATTCCTTCAACTCCAAGGGGCTTTAAGGAACTTTTATTATTATTTTCCTCAAGAGCTCCCCACCCCACGATCCATGGAAAACTGTTTGTGAAACTGAGAGGATTTCAGAAGCAGGTTGTAGTTTGACCTGGGGATACTGAAAAGTCCAGAGTTGGAGGTGGGGAGCAAAAACCCTATGATAAAATGAACAGTGTTTGGGGAAGATGATATCTTTAGCAAGAGAACAGAATTTGAAGATAACTGACCTATTTATACAAATATATAACATATGCACATTTTTGTACCAAATACTGCATATCTAAAAGGCCTTTATGTATGATATTTTTCTTCTACAGAAAATTATTCTAATAAACTGCAAATCCATTGTAAAGGCTTCAATAAGCACACAAGATCTTCCCTTCTTGCCATAATATTTCAAAGACATTTCTACGGAAGTCTAAAGACAGCTTTCCTACTCCCGGGGTACAGAGTAGCCACTGCTTTTCCACCTTTTAAATGCTTTTTATCCTACTAGAGAAAGCAGAAATGAAATGAGTTTGAGATGAGTTCTTTGTGGATTACATGAAATGCCTGGGGTCATTATTGTTCCTGGAACTGAGATTACCTCTGGTTTCTCACAACGTCATCCATGCAAACATGCTGCATGAGATAACCAAAGCAAAGCAAAACTGGGTATGTTCAGTTTTTTAAAAAATTTCGAGGTAAAAACTAGGCAAATATATTCCACTAACCCTCATAAAAAGCTAGGACTGCGCAGTAAAGAGAAATGACTGTAAACTCTGAAATTGAAAGAAGGTGGGGGTGAAGAAAAGAAAAACCTCCGCCTTGTCTTAACTAATGGATGACTTGTGGATAAGGCTGGCCTGGAGGTACAGCTGCTTTAGATAGCTTCTATTGCCAGGCAGGACAGGTTGGTGTGGGCAGCTCATTTCATTTTCCTGGATGAATTTTAAAGAGGTACTCTAAACAGGCTACAGAGGAGGAGGAGAGAAACAGTCCTTGTGCTGGGTCTGCCTTTCCCAAGCTGGTGCCCCCCAGATATGTTGGGTTACAATTCCCATCATCCTCTGTATTTAAGACAGCTGTTCCTGTTGATGTATGTATTGGAACGATTAAGACTGTATATTTAGGCCATGTGAGAAGGCGGCCAGGTGGTGGCACTGCTATTAGCCAATGAGTAGATGGCTGATTTGGGCCTTCTAACTGTGGGGCTTGGAAGGGAGGGAAAGAGGCTGAGTGCCTCCAGGATACCTCATCTTTTGCCAGCACCACTTTCCCTTCCTGCCCCTAAATGCACCCCAACCCTTCTTTGAGATTGCACGTATGTACCTGGAGAAGCAGCCAGCAGGGGGCTTTCTGTGCTGTGAGGTGAGAGGGTACAGCCCCAACTCCATGACTGGAGTCCTTTCTAGCCCCAGGGCTGGGCCTCTAAGCCTGCCCCAAGACAGATTCAGGTGAGGAGCTGAATGCTTGCTAAAAATAAAGCTTGTCACAATAATTCTGTGAGGCACCTTAGACGCTGACTGGCCAAAATCACCTGGTGAGCTTCATGGTTGAGTTGGAAGCAGAACCCAGATTACTCGTCCCAGTTCAGCGCTCCAGACACAACCCTACACTGACCTCCACAGGTTTCGCCTGTGTTTTCAGTTCCACCTGCTCCTTCCCTGCCCAATCTTATACTCATTGCATCATTATCAACTCATGATGATAGCCTATTGCCCGAGTTTGCTTTTTCCATCCATTTTCCCCATCCAATACAGAGTTGGATGGCTTTACAAAACCAAGCATAATATCAGCATGAACTGAAACACTTAGCAATTGATGGCTTTGGTAAGCTAATTTAGCTTCTAGTGCAGCCAGTTTGTACTACAGGGCTAAAATAAAGATCTCCCTCTCCTGGTGAGTCTTCATATATCAGGTCATGTAAAACCACACACAAGTTTTACTAAACACTGTAATCCTGGAAGCAACACTTATCTGTGTTACGGTATTATCTGAAACCCTGTGTATATTCTTTACTCATTAGGCAAAAGCAAATGTGGGTGAGAAAGGATACAAAACTTGATGGGCAGAGTGATCCTGCCAGTGGGGAGAGAAAGGGAAATCTGAAGATGGAGAAAATGCTTAATCCAAATCCCTTTTGGTTTCACGCCTGCTAAACCAGGCTTTCCTCCAATCTGCCCCAACATGGAACATTCCTCCACTTTTGCCTCCACAGACACAAGTTCCAATGTGAAAGAGGCCAAGTCTGTGGGAGTTTATGCAGCATCTCAGAGGGTGCTGCAAGGCCTGGTCTTCCCTTCCAAGATCAGGCATCTCTTGCTGTGGCCAGGTCCACATGCCGCTCCGGTGCCAGCTGAACTTGACAGCATGTGACATGGAACTTTTGAGGCATGTGCTGTAAATATTGAGTTGACCCCCCCTTGCCAAAGATAGGACACTACTTCAGTTGACCCAAGGGGCTGCCCAAGACATATTGCGGCCCGAAATGAAGGGCAAGACGGTGGATCATGCTGCTACTCCACATACATAAACTGACCAGATGATCTTAATTCAACTCGGGCAATAGGCTAGCATCCTCCACACCTAGGGCAGGTGGTTAGCTTAGGGAAACCATGGCAGGCTCCAGGTGTACACTGGGGAACGCTTCCCTCTGCCTAATGGCTAGGGTTGCTCCAGCCCTACCTGTGTTGAAACTTCAGACTCAAGTGTGGCTCGGTGGCGGAGCTCTCCATTAAGCCAGATAAGATTGCACTGTCACTCATCAGTGCCAGAATGTTTAATACTACTTTAAATGTTTTAGATACATCTAAGCTTTTAACAATTATCTCTGACTATGTTTCTTTCATTCCTTCCTCCTCTGATCTCCCTGCTAAGACTATATTCTTCTTTACCCTGTGCATATATATCCACCATCTTCAATCACAATCTGATGAAGCAGGCTTTGGTCCAAGAACTCTTAAATCATGATAAGCATGTTACTCCTTAACGTAACCCAAAACTTAGTTGTATAAGCCAAAGTGGATTTCAAAGTATGATGGTGTAGCTCCACCTGCTGGACAAATTAGAGAACTGCTGTTGACTTTTAGCAACAAAAATCAACATTCTGCAGCTGGGGACTTGCAAGGAAATTTCAGAATAAGATGGGGCACCCCTTTTTGCTCATCTTCTCATTTCCCTCCCTCTACTGGCAGATGGTGGCAGCAGACACAGCACTGCCTAGCCTTTTAGGCGTAAGCTGTGACTAGGATATGTACAGCAACACAGAAACCTTGGAAGCTGCCTTACACAGAATCAGACCATTTACCTTTAGCTCAGTATTGCTGAAACTGAGGCGCAGTGAAGGACAGACATAAGTTTCTCCCAGATGTTTCCCTACGTGGCTTTAGGAAGGAGGCAGTTCCATGGCCCTGAAAGCCAAGGTTATGCCAGCACCTGTTTACATTCCTGCAAAATGAGATAAAAATTCTTTTTTCCTAGGGTTTTCATTTTGCCTACTTTGTACACAAAGACCTTTTTCTGCAGAATAAAGCTTTTTCCACCTAACACCCTAGAGTGCTTGATTAGCTACTACACATTCCAAGACCGAATCCCAACAGTAGCAGTTCTCCAATGTTTCAGGCAAGCATTTTTCCCTGCCCTACTTGAAGAGTCCAAGCTGGGACCCTCTGCATGCCAAACATATGCTCTATCACTGTGCTGTAGCCCCTGTTCCCACCTCTTACACTCCTGGCATGCTTGATCCCTTGATGCAAACTTTACTCCTCATCAAGTATAGCCAGTCAGTCACAACTGTCTCAGATCAAATGCATTTGTAAATTAAAGTTTCCCTACACTTCGTGGCTGAGTTAATACAAGAGTTGCATAATAGTTAAGGTCCTTACATTTCTCAATACGCTACTATAATTAAAAACTATTATTTAATAACATGGCAGAGTTGTTTTTAGATTTTATTTTGACACTGAACTTCCATTTCCAATCAAACACTGTAGGGCAAAAACCAGCTAGACCATTACCAGATAATAACAATTTGATCATTCATTATTAACAGTATCCTACAGAAGTAGCAATAAATTGACATTTCCCACCTGAATATACAAAAGACAAACATTCATACTCATACCACAAATCTGATATCCCACCTATACAATTTATGTCTAGTTTTTATTTTCCCTTTTGGTAGAGCATATTTTATTAAAGCTAACCCACTGTCTTTAGTAACTGACACACACACCAGAAATTCTGATCTTGTAATGAACAAACATTTGCCAAGCCTCTAGGAAATTATAATGGATTGCTTTTTACTGAAGCACTACCAGAATCTGACAAACTCATATCAAGCTTTTATGAAACCTTGTTTGTAAGATCTTCCTGAACTGGATACACCTAGTTTTTCTTTACATGTTAGAAATTTGAAAGCATCATTATCAAGAGGCCCTTCAGCTATAATCCCATTGTGTTGTTTTAAGAAATTATATTCTTTCAAAGTACGGTAACAGAATTCCTGATTTGAAAAGCAGATTAGCACTTCAAAAATATTTCACCAAATAAGACAAACATTTAGCTTCACTGTGCAGAGGTGGGCATTTTGATGGGCTAGAATATTTTCAAGTGGTGCAATTATCAAGTAAACTTGTTAACTATGAGTATAAAAATTATCAAGGGAACATCAAGGTTCTTGCTCTAGGCTGCACAAGAATCCTGTTTTACTTTTTGCAAGCTGTATATCTTGAGGATACATTTTCCCAGTTGATCACATTCCAGATAGCTTTCAGATAGTCAGGTCTAACATTTTTATACTGGAGATAATATGCATGCTCCCATACGTCAATTCCTAGAAGGGGAATGAGACCTAGAAAAGAAGAGATGTATGGCTCAGGTATTATACAGCTTAAAACAATTGCAGCATTTCTCCCATAATTTCTTTCTGCTTCATATGATATCTACATAATTACGCAAAGTAGCAATAAACACCAGTTTGTTCACAAGCATATATAAATAGTCATTAAAATGCTTTCCTAACAGAGGCAAGTACTGGAGGTGTCCTGTTTGTAACAGAAGCTGTAATTTTCAAGCTAGTCACTTTTAGTCTATTGTATTGCATGTTCAGCTCCAGCTGTTTCCTAAACTGAAGGGATGATGGCTTAAAATGAGCGTTTAAATGTGGTAAAAGAGTGGTGCATATATTCTTTGAAATAAAACAAATATTCAAGAGTGGATACGAGATACATAGTCCAATTTCCTCAGAATTCCCACTTTCACTTGAAGAACTCTAACTTTTATGGGTTAGAAGCCTATGAGAAATGTCTACTGCAGTGGTTGGAGGCAAGGATTTAGTGCCCCACATAGTATCACTGTGGCAAGCAATGCCAAAGTTACGCCGAAGAATAATAGTATGACATTTATACTCTGCCTCTTCCCCATTTCCAGGTAGATACCATAACCAGAATTCTTCTAACTTGTAAAGTACCAGTGTTACTATCCCTTCAAAAACAATTCTTAACTTTAAGAGGACAAATTTTACTTGGTGCCTTCCATATTGTGTGACCATCTGATTTAAGCTTTGTTATCCAGAGGCAGCTTCCTCAACTGGTGCCCTCCTAATGAGCTGTGCTACAACCAGCTGAGGATGATGGGTGTTGGAGCTGAGCACGTCCAAAGGATAACCAGGTAGGGAAGATCGCTTTAGAATATTTCTGCTAGTCTCAAGTTATATTTAAAAGAAAGGTAAATGCTATCACTGACTTTAAAGTAAGTGCTTCACTAACTAGAAGCAAAAGTAGGATTCTTCCATTAATTTCCCCTAGGAACATAGTTCCTTTTCTTCCAGTACACAAAACTAGGGATATGTTTGGCACGGGGATATGTCAGATTCCCTAGGCTCAGCTTCTCACTCTGGTCCACTTTGCAGCAGCCCTGAGACCAAGTTCTGGTGATCACTCCCAGCATTCATAGGGCACTTGCCAGAAATCAAGCCTCACACATTGTGCCAGCAGCATCTTTCTTCTGTGCCTGGTTGGGCTGCTGCCAGCTGCACTGGGCAGGGAAGAAGGATGGGCACCGGGAATGGTGCCTGGCACAGCCACTACCAGTGCCCTCTTCCATATCCTGACAGGGAAGGTTACCAGTTGCACAACTGGGCACACACGGACTTCCTCTGGGCTCAGCTTGCTTTGCAGGACCAGGCAGAGCACAAGAGGAAGTGCATGGATAACAGAGGCAGGGATTCTAAATGGGTTCATCCCAATGCAGCTCAAAACTAGGGCTCAAATGCCTATCCGTGTGCTTTTCAAGATTAAGCCACCATATGCTCCTGGCTTATGGCAAGCTCCATTAGTTCCTGGCCTTCCCAAAGTTCACTGTACATAAAAAGTTCGGTGCTTGGCTGCATCTGCTGGCTCTTCCTCCCTTGCTGAAATTATTACGCAGGCAATATTAAGTGCACAAAACAGTACTCCAGGATTGCCAATACATCTTATAGATTTAAAGCTTGAAAGTTATACATGTATAAAATGTATACACTGGATGCACTATTGGTGGCCATTTTGCTTGTTTCTGAATTGCTCAAGTCATGGAATCCAGGGTTCTGCCTCATCAACTCTTTTTCCCCAAATGAACGGTTTTCCCCCAAAGTCCCTGCTTTTGCTGAAGTGGGCACCCACATACAGCTACTCTCAAGGCAACAGAAGTTTTCCCACACCTGAGCTCCATCTTCAGGACAACCCCCAGAAAAGCAACTTTTAGACCCTTATCCTAACTTCTAGAGCTACTTTCCCTGCACACTGTAGCCTCCAATTTTTTTTTACCTATCATGTAATTTTCCTATCATGTGATTCTGTTAGTGTACATATAGAAATTTGTTCTATCTGTAATCGAGCTCTGGAAATTAGTGTTAATGCTCAGAATTTAGCTACTGCAACATTCTGCCCTCCCTTTGCCACAGCAGTTAGCCACGAGGACTAACTCCTACACTTTGCCTGTGACTAGAGAGGAAGCACTGCAGGCCCCTTGACTCTCCCCATCTCCCCATCCTCCTATCCCTTGTCTCCTTCCTTCCTCTCTACTGAGGCCCTAGAGCAGTGATGGCGAACCTTTTTGAGACCGAGTGCCCAAACTGCAACCCAAAACCCATTTATTTATCGCACAGTGCCAACACTGCAATAAAACCTGAATACTGAGGTTTTAGCTTAGAAAAAACTCACAGCGAGTCCAAGCAAATATATATATATCCTTGACAGCGCACTGACTGTCCATGCAAAAGCTCAGACGAGTTGCAGCTAATAAGCATGCGCATGGCCCCTATGTGCACTGTTATCCAATGCTCAGCTGCTGGGGTGATGCTGGGGCAACTTGGCTTGTGTGCCGACAGAGAGGGGTCTGCATGCCCGCAGTGGCACGCATGCCATAGGTTCGCCACCACTGCCCTAGAGCATCCATTTGCCTAGCCCCTATTTCTTCATTTTCCTTCAAACTGTGGTATAAACATTTAAGGTACTTCTGATTTTTTTATTTTATTATTGTAATTTATTATCAATTTTATGGACTGTTGCAAACCTCCCAGAGGGCTTTGGCTGTGGGGTAGTATAGAAATGAAATTACTAACAACAACGCATTTGGGTGTAGATGTACAGTGAATATTCGGGTCTAGCCTTTCAAGCACAGCATCTCTTGGTTTAGACAATAAACAGGCTGAGCAAATTTCCCCCCCTTCTGAACCCTGAGTATGGATGCCTACCATATTAATTTTGTTTTCTTCCTTATACGTTTAGTATGCCTATGATTGTATGAATTTGATTAACTCCATGCACTAATTATAGCATGCCCATTATCAAACTGATTAATTGATAAGTGACTGATGCATATTTTTCTTCTCTGTTCAATGAAATAACTCTTTCTGGGAGGTTGTGTGTATCATGAAGACAAATCTGATGAGATGTGCTGCAAGCAACATTCTAAGATCCTTTCAGAAAATGTGCTTACTCATATAAGCGTTCAGAAATGCCTCCTGTAAACAAAGCATATCTCAATTCAAGTGAGAAGTCCTGTCATTCTCCCAAAGCAACTGTGACTGCCAGAGGGCTGAATGGAGAGGAAGAAACCTTCCTCTATTGCAAACAGGTTTGGATAAGGGCAGAGCAAATGCACGCTGTTTCCTTCTTATCCAAATGGTTGTGCAAACGACCAGCCAGTCAAAGACTATGGGCAGTCCTGCTCTCTAAGGAAGCAAGAGGCACTGTTAATGCCCATCTTCTCCTACCATGTAACAAAAGTGATATTCTCCACTTGTGATCAAGTTCTATTGCAAAAAACTCACCTGTGGTTCCTTGGAGAGGATCCTGGTTGGCACAGGCAGCAATCTGCAGTCGGCCTTGCTCTTTACTGAAGCCTAGCCATCCCCATCCTGAGCCTTGCACTCCAACTGAAACAGCTGTCAATTTCTCCTTGAAATTCCCAAAGGAGCCAAAATCACGCTTAATGGCCTCCATTAACTCCCCTTTAAAAAAAAAAAAAATACACCAGACCATTTCAGATTAATTCAGACATAAACAAGAAAGGTACAGGTCTAAACCAAGGTACAGAACCTCTTTCAACCCAAGGACCACATTCCATTTTGGAGAAACTCTTGGGGCTGCCTTCCAGTGCTGGGAAAGGCCAAAGGCAAAATGGGTGGAGCCAAGATTAGCAGCAGAGTTTAGTCTTAGTGCCAGTCACTAAGGAGAAAAAGTTCAGCCTTTTAAAACGAGGGAAAAACTAGCAGCAGATTGCCCTCTCCCTCCACAAAGTTCCTTCCCTGAATCCCCCCCCATCTCCTCAACATCAGTATTAGTCATGGTTGAAGTTAAGGCTGTCTGTTTGTAAACATTTCCTGAGACAAATTTTGGTACAAAGTAGCTGATTCATATATATGTATGTTCCTGTCCAAAGTAAAGAATTTTGTATACATTATAAAAGTTAAAAAATAATGGAACTGGAACCACTGCCATATATAATTTATGCAAAACCCAACTAATCACTGAATTCATCACTGAGTAAAGGTGCTTAGGACAGTAACTTAAATTCTCTATTCAACATGGCATTTGCCGAAAGCTCAGCTTAGTACAGCTCATGCAATATCAATCTCTCGCACCTGTGCATGAGTGTGTTTGCTTTCTTATAGTTCCTTACTTTGCTGCACCCATCCCCCCACCAAGCAGTTTTATGCTAAATCAGTGCTCAAACCTGATTTCTGGGAGTGTTTACCAGCAGTAAATGATCCAGTTCGTCTCAGTAAAATGTCCTGTGAAATGTAATTTTGCTACATCTGTGAGACATAATTTAGCTAGGTACTACAAGTTACAACAGACCCTTTTTCTTTGCAAACCTTGGGGCTCCCCTCCACCATTTGGAGAAAGGTTTGTCCAAAAAATAGTGTGATTGATGTGACCTCCACCATTGAACTTCAGAGCTGGCTGAAGGGACACTTGAGCAGTCACATCTCCTGCAGATGCAAGAAAAAGAGAATGAAGTGAAACCAAGATAAATCCTAGCAGAAAGCGTTTTACTTACTTCTACTGATTTCTTCCACTTTGAAGAAAATGGATTGCAGCTTTTAAAGAAACAAATGTTTGATGCCAAGTACAAATATAGCACTTCCTGGCTGTCCTAAGAACCCTGTCTTTAAACTATAACTGTCTGTAAACCCATACCTTATGGGCAGTATCCAACACTGCTGCTCTGCTTACACAACAGACACAGTGCTAGCACCACACTGATAGCATAAGCTGGTACAACAGGGTTTCCGGGGACAGTGCCAGAGGCTGCTCACATAACACTATATCAAGTGTATAAGCAAGCACCTCCAGACACTGCCCTACATACACATCTTCACCAAAAGCTTTCAACACACATCCCCTAAGCCAGAGTTCACAAATGTCTTCTCTTGATAGCCAGCTATTATTTGGCTGACATGAACCAATCTCTGCAGCCCTTTGGGAGAGAAAATCCAGGGGACCAGGATCATCTCGACACATATGCAGAACCTCAGTTAAGAGAGCAGGTTATTCCTATGCTAACAAACCAACACCTGAGAATGTAACCAGCACAACAGAGAAAACACTGACATGTTTTGGTTGGCACCATATGAGAAAACTGCCTTGTGTACATATTTCTACAGAACTCTTGAAAAAGTATCACTGATATGCAATATGTATTTCATAGTAAATCATGCAAAATACCACTACTGCAAACATGCTGAAAATACTTATCACACAGAAGAAAGTATTCTCAAAAGATCTGAAGTAAATTTAAAGTTTGTAAAACAGACCTACAAAGACTCAAGATTTAAACTCTGAATACAGCATATACGATTTAAAATATCTTTGAAAGAGAGGCTTGAACTGTTAATGAGAAGTTACAAGCTTCTGATGAAATTTCTTTTAAAAGGGTTTGAACTCACTGACTGTTGATTTTCTGCTACATGCAATTTGAGTAGGAGTCTATTTGTTGGACTACCTATCTATTAAAAAAGGTTTCCCCATGACATTAAAGTCCAGTCATGTCTGACTTGGGGGCAGTGCTCATCTCTGTTTCCTAGCTCAGGGAGGCAGCATTTGTCCACAGACAGTTTCTGTGGTCGTGTGACCAGCATGACTAAACAGAGGTGCACAGACCGCTGTTACCTTCCCACAGAAGTGGTACCTTTTCATCTATTTGCATTTGTATGCTTTCGAACTGCAAGGTTGGCAGGAGCTGGGACAGAGTACAGGAGCTCACCCCAGCTGCAGATTTGAACTGTTGACCTTTCAATCAACCAGCCCAGCAGCTAACCCACTGCGCCACCCCATCCCACACATCTACTGGCAGCACTCAAAAGCTAGCCTTGGTTGCACCCTAAAAAGAAAGAATGTTTGCTTATCTTTAAGTCACCAGCCAAATAAGCATTCCTGTCTTTGCTTAATCACTCAACTTACAAAGTAACAACACTTTCCTCATCTTTTTCTGTTTTATCTTGCACTGCCTTTATCAGCCTTTCCCAATGTGGTGTTCTCCAGATGTGCTGCACTATAACTTCCATCATTCTTAACCACTGGCTATGCTGGGGTTGATTAGAGTTAATAATCCAAAACTTCTGAACAGCATCATGTTGGATGATATCTGACATGGTGGAACAATAACACAGAGAAGAAGTAAAGAGGAAGGGAAAAAGGGAACAATAATGGGGTTGCACCATAAATAAGAAAAGGAAGTAGAAAAATCAGATTCAGAAAAATAAAAAGATTTGATTTTAAACCCAACATATTTCATAAATATGTTTATGAAAAATAAACCCAACGTATTTCATAAATAAATTTCATAAAGAGAGCCAGTGTGGTGTAGTGGTTAAGAGCATGGGATAGGGACTCAGACGATCTGGGTTCTAGTCCCCGCTCGTCCATGGAGCCAACTGGGTGACTTTGAGCCAGTTACAGACTCTCAGCCCAACCTACCTCACAGGGTTGTTGTTGTGGGGATAAGATGGAGGAGGTGATATAAGCTGCCTTGAGCCCCTTGTAGGAAAAAGGCAGGATATAAATTGAAAAACAAATAAATAAAATCCTTCTTCAACAGCACTTGCTTTCAGGATATTTCAGCAAATGAGTACCCCTGAGGAAGGATTTTCAACATGTATTGATCCCACAAGCAAACTCTTTTTCCAACTCTAGGAAGAAAAAAACCACAAAACTTAAGTTGCCTTCAGAATGACTAATCTAGACAATTACATTCAACAGCTGTCAAGCGATCCAGAATCAGTTGCTCAGAAATGTATTCAAGTTGCAGAGAACCAATATGAAAACCAATAATTTAAGTCAGATACATATCTTAAGGCAGGTTATCTAACACATCCGAAGAAATCAGTTTTTTAATCTGTTCCATTACTGAATTGATTCAGAAGTGCATGCACACAAAAAGGGCCACATCTGCTGCAATTCTTTTCAGGTAGACCTTAAGTAGGCACACAGGTGCTACCTAGAGCTTAAGGAGTCTGACGGTTTTGAACTAAGTAGTCAGAAATGAAAACCAGAATTATTTCAAGTCCTGTGCACAAAACTCCCATGTGTTCTTTTCCAGCCAGATGGTTCCTTTACAGGTTCTGAAAAACTAACTGGACTTAACAGAATGAATCCTTTAACTATAAGTAAAGCTTTTGAATTTAAAATATGTATTACATGTTTTCATAGGCTTCCCATTTAATCACATGAGAGACTCAGTACTTAACTGTGGCTATTCTGATTTCATTAGCATCTCAATGTCTGTTAAGAATTCACTACTCCATCATTGTTTTAACCTAGGTTCCAAGAATCACTACAACTTACTGTAATATTAAGTCACAAAGAATAAAGCAAGTCAATCCTATAAACCCTGCAGTTGAGGCAAACAAAGAAAAAGATGGACCTCATCTGCTTATTTGATTGGCCAAAGTGCTTTCAAATTATAGTTGTGGTAACTAATCCAAATGTAGTAACAACTGCTTCTTGATGACAACAGTGATAAAACCCTCCCTTTTAGTGCAGACGTCTTTACAGTTAAAAGTTCTCAAATCTCACTACTATTTACAACTAAATTGAGATCAACTTGAGCCATAATTCACATTTGAAGTTGCTAAGGATGTCACAGTGGATGCTACATCCCTTCTACAGTATAGCTAGAAACTTTATGAACACACACCAACAAGATGGACTATGTCCTAAATTACTATTAATCTTAGCACTGGAGAAAACATGGGGAAACAGTGAGAAGCATGCAGCAGCTACAGGAAAACAGAGGCAACACATTCTGACATTTTGTTACCCATACCTTTTGCCAAGGCCTCTTTATATTTTTCTTCAGCAATATTCAGATTATTTACGTAAGTGGCATGATGTTTGCTGTGGTGAAGTTGCATAATTTCTGCACTAATATGAGGCTGCAGGGCACCATAATCATAAGGCAAATCAGGGAGAGTGTGCTTTTGCCTGAAGGCCAGACAGCCAATAGGTTCAATGAGTTTAGTGCCATTTCTGGAAAAGAACAAAACATAAAAAGTTAATGTTTTGACTCTTACTCATGTTTCGCAAGTGTCTTCATTATCTCTTTTAACTAAACTAAGACAGAGAATGATTGTCATGTTTGAGTCCAATACTATGTAGTGCTTGCACTTTTTAAAAGGGTTTGAGCTTCTGTCTCTGAGGTCCAAAAGTCACTCCCAGGACCCTGTATTATAACAGCTCTCAATAATAACTGTTGTTACTCTATTATGGAGAAATGGGAATACCAGAAATGTCCTGTTATAATTCAATTGCAAAAGACAGGTGAAAGAGATACAAAAGCTGAGGGTTTCACCCCGTGAGCCACAAGGAATTCCTGTGGATCACAGAAACTTTAGTTGCTAAAATGCTGGTAAGGACTGTGGAAGGCAGTTTTGGACCAAAAATGATTGACACTAAAACAAATTTGTAACTGATGGATCTTTCTAGTAAATATCCACCGAGAATTGTTTTTAAGTCCAACTACCTATATCAGCAGTTGCCAACACAGTATCCACTGACAAATCTCTCAACTCCCAGCTACCTTTAAAAGAAATTGTTATTAATGCAAACCCTGAAAAAAGCAAAATCTTCTCTTTTGTCTAAGCTCTGGTTTTGCAGCTTTGGCTCCTCTCCCTTGTTTCCCTCCTCCCAGCCTCTAGCCTTGTGCACTCACTATCTCCCTTCTGTCCCTTATATTCCCTTCCTCCCTGCCTCTAACTTCACTACCTCTCTCTCTCTCACACACACAAATGTACCTCTTTGGCTCACTTCTGAAAAGCCACAGACCCCAATATGAGTAGCCACATCTTCTGCTGGAGACATTTTACGGTGGTGCTCACTGCAGTTTTTCAGATTCCCAAATATGCCCCAAAACATTGAGGACCCCTAATCTATACTGCTCACATGAAAGATTGACTACAACATAAAACCAAGGTAATAAATAACACCAACAAGTTTGATGACTATCATCTTGAAATACTGTGGAGCTTAAAGGTTAATAATACAGGTGTCAAGGTTCTTATCTCAGGCATTAAAGACATATGTACCTCTGAAAGGCAAGGAGTCAAAATTTGAAGACTTTTCTACCTAATATTTATATAAATAAATATAAATATTTGTAAACTGCCCAGGCTCTCTGGGCAGTTTACAAATTTAAAAGATATATAAATAATCATTAAAATTATTGCAATTAGATAAAACAGTAAAATGATAAAACCAATGTAACAGGATCAATGGCCACAGCTACTATATTAATATTAACATACAGCACAGCAGCAATAACAACAACAACATTAAAACTGACCCGTATCTATTAAAATGTCTGGAAAATAAAACGGTTTTCACCTGGTGCCAAAAAGAAAGCAAAGATGGTGCGAGGCATATCTCTGGGTGCCATTACTGAAAAGGCCCTTCTCCTGGTCACCATCCCCCTTACTACCCTAGAGGAGGGGTTTCCTAAGAAGGACCTCAGTGGATGATCTAAGAGGCTGGGTATGAACATATGGAACCAGGCATTTCTTTAAATAACCTGGCCCCAAGCCTTTTAGGGCTTTAAATACTAAAAGCAGCAGTTTGAATTGGGTCTGGACTTCAACTGGCAGCTAATGCACTTCCAAACTATGCAGCTTGTCCTTCAAGGGGAATACAGCCCAATCCAGGACAGGTTAAATATCTCCCAATTAGAAAGACAATCGCGCATGATGTGATCTCTTAGGCCAGCCCCACTAACAGCCCTGCTGCCCTTTCTGAATCAATTGGTGTTTCCAGACCATTTTCAAAGGCAGGCCCCAAGAAGAACATGTTACAGTAATCCAGACCATGTATGAATCCAGATGGGAAGTTACCAGAGCAGGGATAACTGTAGCTAGGCTCTGTCTGTCCAGACAGGCTGATTTACCAACTACAACTCTAAGCTGATAAAAGGTGCTCCATGCCACTGAGTCCACTTGAGATTCAAGTGCCAGTTCTGGGTCCACGAGCACTACCAAACTGTGAACCTTGTCCTTCAAAGGGAGTACAATTCCATCCAGGACAGGCTGAATATCTCCCAGTTAGAAAATCTATCTGAACTAGATGCTTACAAATATGGTGGTGGGGATACCAGCTCTTAAAGAAGCAGGTTGTCAATAAACAGCCCAGAAGGACCTAAAGTTAATACATTTAACTGTGTTAACAAAGCAACAAATTAGACCACAGAGTTCTTTAACATACATCTAAATGTTCCCAGCCTCCTTCTTCTAGAATCATATTTAAAACTCATACCATTTGTCTATCCTTTGATGCATCTCTCATGAAGACTCAATATGTCTAATAAAGGTAGCAGCACCACATTCTAAACACATCTGTATGCAAATATCTGTATGCAAATATTAATAATAGAATTAAAACCTCTTACACTACTGATAAATCTATTTATTTTAAATTAAATTTCTTAGTAAATTTCCCATAATATGTATTCAACCCCCAAATAATTGCTAATCTGCTTAATAGTTTACACAGCCACAAAAATATTCCCAGAGCACCTATGCTTTCTCTTTGAGCGCCTCCCACCCCAGAAGAGGGAAAGTGTTAATATTCTATAACAAGACTGATTTAACACCAACAAAACAACTTGAAGATGCAAGCTCATACTTGCTTAAAGAGAAAAAAACCTCCTACATCTAGGGCACTTTCTGCCTAGTAGGATTATGGCTTAAAGGTTTTAGTTCCAAAGGAGAAGCATCAAGAGCTCAAACATACTTGAAACAGGTTGCATTCTGCTGGGGAAACCTATTCTTATAATTGCAGGTATGTAGGAGTTGTGCATACCTACTGGGGTCCGAGTGTTGCTTATTATGCTGCTATCCTACCTTTCTTCCTGGCGAATTAGGGTCAGCGGACTGCCTCCCCATTCCATTTTATCTTAGCAACTATTTTATGCGGTGGGTGAAGCAAGCTGAGGCCGCGCAACCGCCCAAGGTCACTCGGCGAGCTGCCCGGCAGAAGGACGCTTGGAAGCCATGCCGCTGGAGTCCGCACTTCCACCACCGCTCCCCCAGAGCCGCCCTCCCGCTCCCGTCCAAGGCCTCGGGGGGTGTCCTCCAGATGCGTCTGCCTTCACCTCCCAACCATGCCAGATGGGGGACGGTGGGACTCCGGGTCGGAGAAAGCGGTTTCATTATTTCAGTGTTTCACAGCTAAACTAGCTCAAATTGAACAGGAACCCCTGTTCCTGCGAGGTAGCAGCTTTGCACCTTCACAGCATTAGTTCCTGCAGGCGACTCCAAGCTGCTACTCCTCTGTCTCCATCCCAGACTGCCCCCCTCGCCTTGCTTGCCTTCTAATCTCCCGCCTCTCCCGAGCTCCAGTCAGGCCCCATCCCCAGTGCCCTTGGCCAGGCACTCAAGGGCTCCGGACCCTCCTGGGCTCTCACCTGCAGCTGCCGCGCGAAGTCAGACGGCAGAGCATAATGGAAGCGGTGCTCAGAGAGGAAGAAACTGAAGGCGACGCAAGAGACACGACTCACGCAGCTCCTCAGGAGCCGCTCACACGACTGTCTGCGGGCGGGCGGCCTTGGTCGGGTCAACGAAGCGCTTGCGCAGCCCCGCCCCGTTTCGCCCTCCTCTCTCAGCGGTTGCGGTGCAGAAGCTGATCTGTCTGGCTGCCAGTAATAGAAGGGGCGAGGCGGCGGCGGGGGAATGCTGGTGACGCATGCGCTTGGGGCTCTGCTCGCCGCTTGGTCGGAGCCTGCGGGCGGCCTGGTCACGCGCTTAGAGTCGTCCCCATGAGGCTTGGTACGGTTTGGGGGGTATGCTGGGAGTTGTAGGACCCTGTTTCTAAACGTGCAGAGGTTCGTGCGTGAAAACATACTGCAGTCTTCATAGATGAGTATTAAAAGCGGCAACGGGAAAAGGACAATTAACACAAATTTCTGCAATTATGATTGTAAGTTAAAAGTTGGACAGGAGGATGTGGACCAAGTCACAAATACAGGTCACACGGAAGAGCTTTGCATGGAGACCGCCGCCAACAGAGTGTGCGTTAAAGTGGATCCATCACGGATTGCAACGTTCAGAGAAGTAGCCATGTTAACATGTTGGATCAAAACCAATGGTATTCTGGCACCTTTAAAAACTAACAAATTGATTCAGACGTCAGCTTTCACGGACTGTCATCAGATCTTTGCAGTATTATGAAGAGTGAATGAGGTTAATGCTATCATTAGAAGCTTGAATTAGGATAATTTAGTTTGTGCTAGCAGCAGCTGTTGCACTGTGATGAGTGCAGTGCAGTGCAGTGTTTGAAACTTTCTGTATTTAACGCCTTTCTGATTTCACTGTTCACAACCACCATCACTGCACAATATGCACCTTACCGAAACTGCATTTGTTGAAGTGGCTATAGCCCATGTCGTTCAGTGGTAGAATGCAGGCACAATCCAGTCACGGTCTTCATAGAATTACAGAACAGAAGAGTTGGAAGGGGCCATGAAGGCCATCGAGTTCAATGCCTTGCTGTTGCATGATCCTCTGATCTTAGAGATTCATGCTAATCCAGTGCAGAGCAGGCCATGGAGGCAATATTTGCCTCCCAGTTCCACTGGCTCTGCTTTTTTGCTGGATGACCATGTTCAGGTGTCAAGTAATAGTGGATCAAAGGGGGAGCAGAGAAGCCTGAAATGGCTTCAGTCCCATGCTTTCCTGGCTATTCTGATCTCAATCCCCAAAACACCCCTTAATCCCTTCCTAAAGTCGTGTTCTCGACTAGGGAGCAGATGCCACTATTCTTTTTGCACTAGAGGTGAGGGGGCAGGAAAGGGGGATAAGCCTGCTGATTTCCAGCTCTGAAGGCAGAGCACATTCTCCAACCTTGGAGCTGGGAATCTGAGCTATCCAATGGTCTCTGAACAATGCCCAGGAGCCATAGAATAGCTCCCTTAATGTGTTAATATTTTACACTGCCACAAAGCCGTTACTTTCCATTTCATATACAGTGTCCTCATCAAGAAGCTGTCAAGGATCTTGTATGTGGGTAGCAAACATCCCAACCCCAGAGTCCCAGGCCAGAGTTCTGCCAGCACTGACTTCTTTTTCCGGACAGACACACACAGCAAAGTGGCAGCAAAGCAACACATCATTTCTCCAGTGAAAGTAAACTGTTGCTCTGTGACCTATTTGATATGTGAAAGAAATGAATGTATGCAATCATGACCTTCTTGGAAGAAAGATAAGATATACATGTAAATAAATAAATGTGCAGCGGGTCGGGGCTGTGCATGTAAAGAATCTCCAGCAGGATTTGCTATTCAGAGGGAGACCTCCAATGCCTGTGTTTTAAAGCAAATTTCTAGTCTTTATGTTTACAAAAGGATACTTGAAATGTGAACAGTACTTGACAACACCATAAGAACATAATGGGGTGGGCAAATCATTATGTCCGTGTCCCCATGCTCTGCTGTCAAAATAGCTTAAGAATAATTTAATATTTAATTACAACATTTATATGCTGTCCTTTGCAGGAGCCTCAGGACAGCTTACAAAACCTCAGGATAGTTTACAAATAATGATCTGCTTGTTTGCAAGCTGGCTCCTTTAATGTCAGAAACAAAGAACCCTTGGCTCAAAGTTTCAGGGGCCCAGATACAATATTTTTATGCATTATACATTTCTCATGCAGAGTGCTTCCCCATCCCTAATGACTTCAGTGCTTCTCCAACATGTCACACACATGTGGTTGAGATATTTTTAAACACTCTGTCCCCAGGTTGGCTATCACTTTTGTAAGGTGGCAAACTAATTACACAGATACGTGCCATAATTGCCACTTTTCACATTTGTTGCTCACAATTCTTCACTGGTATTTGATCCCCAAAGTACCTTTACTATGATCAACCCAGTATTGGTTCACATGTTCCCATTACTCTACATACATTATTTTGCTAAATGTTCTGGTATGAAATGACAAGCAACAAAGATTTCTGATCCATTTAATATTGAGAATTGCTTGGGGCTAAAAGTCAAGCCTGTTAAAACCAGCAGAAAATAGCAAGCATTAGCTCCTTTAGCTTCAGAAAGAAGAGGTAGTGACAACCAATTGGAACTTAAAGTCTCAAGAATATCCTTTTTAAAGTTTCCAGTAAGCCATTCTGATACTTTCCAAGTAGAAGGGAAGACCAGTCTAACATATACATTTTAAGAAACTCCCTTTGTCTTTTACCAATTTTTTGAAGTTTTTAAACTGAACCCTGTGAGAAAGTTTGACAGAAGCAGGGGATTATCTGGTCCTAGGGAATGATGAACATATTTTTGATTGTCCAAACGGGAAAAGTTAAACTTTTGAGCCTGTGAGCCTATTTGGAAATTTGAGCAACGTCTGGGTGCAGCCATAAAATGGTTGCCATGAGTGGGCAAGGCCAGTCACAAAGAACAAGTAATGTGCCCAGAGTCATTCATGAGAAATTAAGATAGCATCAGCCAGAGCTTCCCACTTTGAAGCAATTCCAGCAGCTGGTGAAAAATATTTCTAAACAGTTGACATGAGTAGGGTGTAGCAATTGGCACATTGGTACCTGGAGGCACCACATTGTATGCCTTTTAGGTAAAGCTAGGCAATAAGCATACCATAGGATGTGATAGTCAGTCAAAGGGACACAGGGGAATATTGACATACCAGACATTCAGAAAGGGATACCATATGTAGGTGTTTATAGGCTAATGCTAGAAGCCTCTGAGCCAAGAAGTGAGAGTTTATGTGCAGTTTTCAAGATCATAGAGAAAACTGTTGGAATGAAAGAACCAGTGAGATATGAATTATTTCAGGGTATAAGTTCCAAAGGAAGGACATTAAAAAGAGCATTGGGTGATGTTTTGTATGTCCAAGGGGCTATAGAATTAAACTAGAAATTCCACAGACTCCTCAACAGAGCAATCATGGGTGGAAATATCAGACCTCAGAATTGTTTTAGCAATAGAACTATATTGCCCCACACCCCCATCAAAATGATTCAGGGTGATCTTTAATGAATGTGATCAGGAGGTATCAAAAGGAGAAAGTATTACAGTTTAGTTATCTTCATACGGACTTACAAAGGCATGATCCAGCATGAAGAGGGAAATGTCTAGGCACCCTGAATAACTAGGAATAGAACAGATGAGAGCGGAGACCTGGACCTGATAATAGGTGGCACTCTGAACCCAATGCAAAACCTATATATTGTTAATGCGAATTGAAACAGTAACCACAATGCTCTAATTGCCAGGAAAGCCCAAGAGTTATATTTGATATCAAATGAGGAAGTGAAAATGAGGGAGTTAAAAAAAGCCAAAGCAAACATCAGGAGGGTCAAATATTTTCCAAAATTGTAGAAGCTACTCAAAGCCAAAATAGTAGCTCAGCTAGAATGTCTACCACATATTGAGAAAGATTAACACCTAGAACAAGAGGATGCCAGCATGGCTAATTTCAGAATACAGGAATTGGGTGTGAGCTAGAAAATGAGTACCCCAGAAAAGGGATCTTGGGGCCATGGTGGCTCAATATCAGTATGTGATACATCTTGAAAAGCTCAAATTCTGTGTTAGGAAAGAGACCAGAAGCAGTCAATATAATGCTTTTATACAAATCTATAGTGAAACAATTGGAATACAAAGTACAGTTTCAGTCACAACAATCCATACTGTAGATATGGATAAGGTGTAGAAAAGGGCACCCAAAGAAATGGTTGGAACCACGCTTCTGAGATTACATTTGGGGTATCTTTCTGTGGACTTTGTCTCTTATAATGCCAGAGCTGATGGGCATCTAACCCAGACGAAGGGTGGGTGATTTAGTAAACAAACTTACCTCTTCACACTAAGGGTTTGTTAAACCATGGAAATTGTTAAAAATGTATTGATGGCCACCAAATTTAAAAAGGATTAAGCAAATAGTGGATAAACCATTCAATGACTTTTTCCTCATGATGGCTCTATGCAACTTCCAGAATATAAGGCAGCATTCCTCTGAATTTATGCAGCTGCAAAAGCAATAGAAGAGAGCTATTGGTTATATTCTTGCTTGTGGGTAATAGCTAGACTATAAAGACCTTTGGTCCGATCCAACAGGGTTCTTAGGTTCTTGTGACGGAGGGCAGATTGGTGTATCAGTGTTGTCCAGGTCATGCTAGTGTGCTCAAGATTAATCAAGAGTGTATCGTTCATACGATGATCCTTGGCAAGATTGCATCAACTTCATTCCAGCAGTAACACGAACATTATTGGAGAGTCCAAAGTAATAGATTTTCCATTCACATCTTGAAGTAAACACAGGCTTGCTGCAGCAGTATCACGTTGTACCCTTTTGCGTTGCAATCCACTCTGTCACACACAGAGTATCGCCAAAGTATAGTATACTTTGCTCCAACTCTACAACCTTTACTTATTGATTTACCAAGAACAGAGACTATTTAAGGATCCATGATGGTATTGCCATTCTTGATGAGAACAAAACCACTTTTACTATACAGCTGGGAATTTAATTTTGTAAAGTTTGATTAAATGCTTTTATGGCATATAATCCTGAACTAGGTGTGGAAAACCCATAAATAATGTATTTCAGTGTACAGAAATGCACTGGGGCAGACATCTTGCTCGGGTATCGCACTGAGACATAGGACAGTTGTTTAATGTGAAGATGTGAAGTATTTAGGGATGAACTCCTTTCCCACTACTATAAGCCATTTTTACAAAGCTCAGCAAGAATCAACAGCATTTGCTATGTCAATCTATACCTTGATCCATTTAAGCATGCCTAATTATATTTAAGTACAATAACCACAAGTTTAGAAATTGAATTCTTCTTGGAATTGTGTTCCATAAATGCCCTCTTCCTACTGCCATACAATAGGAAAATAGCAATGGGTTTCAGCTATGAAATGTTTTTAGTAAAGTGACTGCAACCTCTTTTACTATATGGGATAAATCTGCAAATTCTGCAGAATTCTCTCAACCATGGGGCTAGAAATAAAAGTGTATATAAATTCACCCTCAACTTTTTTTAACAGTACACATCTAGTAACTGCATGTTATTACACAATCTAGTATTTATAAAGCAGCCATGAATACTTCCTAGGCAGCAGACAGTACATGTCACTTGCTAGGAGAAATAGCCCATTAAAAAGTTCGGTAAATGATAGGAACACCAAAAAGACATCTCTTCAACTGACTTCCAAGTACATGTTTTTGCTTATCACAGTGAAGGCCCCTACATAACAGGGTAATAAAGAAAAATCCAGTTTGCACGCGACAAATGCAGGGGGACTAAATGCATTACATTATTAAAAATTTTTATTTAGGTTTGGTCAGTACAGGTAAGATAATATTGGAGTCACAGAGCAATATGTATTAACAGGATACAAGAGTTCTTAAACTGAGTAACTATGCACACAAAATTCTTAACATTCGGTCACCTAAAGAGAACGCACAGATGCATGGTGGCAAAACTGGAACACAAACTACTACAGGACTCCCTCACCAAGTTCATTTTAGTTAGAAAACTACTGTACTGGGCAAACTTGGCAATCATTCAACTCACAGCTATTATGACAAATTCTGAGTGTTATAACAGTATGAGTAAAGAATGCCCTTACACAGCACAAGTTCTAGATATACACAGATTTGTACAGACATCATTGTGTTATACCTGGAAATAAAATTCCATTTTCAACTTCACATTAACTCAAAAATACCTTGAGCCTACACAAATATCCTTGTAGCAACATTCAACGTAATTAGTTGTTAAAATTTCAGAAGTGGCAGAGGTATTGAAGCAAAAAACCCACAAAGGCAGAATTGTGACATATATGCACTAATTTGAACAGTTCTGGACAGTTTTTCTTCTCCCAATTTAAGTGACACTATATAAAAATGTAGCAGAAAAAAGGTTACAAAACTGAACCCTGTGCATTTACATTTGAGTCCAAACCATTCTGAACATGACGAGACCCCGCAGTTCTGTTACCTTTCACATTGACTGTTTTCTCCTCTTGAGGATCGTGATTGGAGTCTGTGTCATTTGAATGGTGAGTTAGAGAATTTTCACTACCAGTGGGAGAGTCTACACTTTCGTACCCAGTACTGAGTTGATTTATATAGCTACCAGATCCTCTGCCAGTTTTATCTTCAGAGTGGTTGGAAAGCTTATTACCATTGTTTGGCGAGGGTGGAAAGTCATCCTCTGTTCCACTACTCTCTCTATAAAAACCGGGCCCAGCTGTCCTCTGATGGGAAGAGCTGCCATTGCTTGGTCCATTAGCCAGACGACTGCAGTCTTTGCTCACAGCCTCTCCCTGATCGGTAGTTTCAGAAGTTGGAGTCCGGCTGGTACCTGCAGCTGAGGTTTGTGACTGCTGCTGCTGATACTGAACCAACTGCTGGCGAGTCTCTTTCAGTTGCTGTTGTAGGACTAGAATGGTACTCTGCATACCTTCTACTTCCTCATCAAGCTGGATGATGAAATCATTCAGTTCTACACGAAGAAAAACACATTTGGAGCATACACTTAATAGCTTTTATCTGTCTCCCCAAACTGAATCAGCCACCTGAACTTATGCAGTAACATCAGACTCATATGTCTATTTTTCCTTATGTAAACTCCAATGTAACAATTTGATTGTTTACAATGTGTTTTTGCTGACTAGACAGAAAAACTTACGAGATAAGTGTGTGTGCATGAGCACACATGCACACACCTTGCCAATAAAAATACAGAACATGGGACACTTTATAGAATACCTTTTTTAATCTCAAACTACTAGCAAAAAGTTTGTAATATTAAGAGGAAACCCCTGAAAATCCACATGCATAGTATTTTGTACCAGGCTTAAATTTAGCTTCTGGTAAATCATCCTAGAGGGGAAAAATTGATACAAATGGGCTTGAAAATATGAACATGTCTAAAAACACCCCTGGGATTCCTCTGATCTGCAAACCTACAAGCCTCTCGCCTGTTGCTTCTGGTTAGTTTGCCTTAAGCCATTTGCTATAATTGACTTATACTTTCCACAAACAAATAGGCCAGAATAAGATATAAATTAGAGAGATGTAAAGTAAGAAATGCACACACATGTATATGGAAACTGGGTTTTTGTGGCAAGGATTTCTTTACTTCTGCGCAAGCAACACTAAGCCTGAGCTAGTAATCCACTTAATCTATGATTTATATGATCATTTTGTCACATTAAAAATATTTAGTATACTATCAGTATACAACAGAAGTTGAATTGTGAATTATTTTTGGTATATTGCCAATACACACACACACACACACCAAATATACATTGGCAATCCCATTTACAACAGTGGACTAAACTTTTTTTTTTTTCATTTTTAAGTGTATATTGATCTAACTCCCAGCTGGATCACAAAAAGCTTTTTCACATCTCAATTTCAAAAAAGTACTTTGATACAAAGTGTCTATTCAAGAATCAAATCCAAAATTCCTTAGGAACACAGAGGGAAGTATCCAATAGGGTGATTATGGCCCACAGATTCTCCTGGGGCTCAAAAATTACCTTCCGCAAAGTGCACCCACTGTTTATACAAGCAAGCTTCCAGGAGCAATACAAAATCAATGGAAATATTTTTTTTCTGGAAGACAGCAGGACAGCAAAGCTCATAAGGGAGCTCTACTGACCTGACTCCTTCCAGAAATATCTGGAAATGCTTGTTCCAAATGCTTTCGATACCTCACAATGTGTTTTTTTACATGTCAAAACACAGTTCACTTTAATGGGAAGCCATTAATTTAATTTGTGTTCCTTAACTATATAGTATTCTTTTGTTGAAAATAGAATCAGATAACTGACCTATTCTTTTAATATTTAAACAAACATGTTCCACAGCGGAATCTTATAATCAAATGTTTAATTTTTGAAGCCTATTCAAATACAAGGAAATTCTCTAATTTCTTTAAAAAAAATCCCTTACCATCCTGACTGCTTTTAAGCTCCTCACTATATTTCTTCTGTAAAGCCAACTCTGCCTCGAGTTGTGCAATACGTCCTTGGGACAGCTGCCTTCCAAGCTCTTGATTCTCCTGGATAAGCATTCGACACTTCGCCATTAACTTTTTGCCTGTTTGGCTGTAAAGGAAAGAGCCATCTATCACAAAATGAAGACAAAATTCTCTCATCTCTCTTGATAAAAGTTGTCACTAAAAGTGGTATTTGTTAACACACTCTTAAGTATCTTACTGCCAGTACAAAGTATTCCTACAGACACCACAGCTTGATCCATCATCATTTGTTGATCTTCTGGCCCTGCTTAGAGAAACTGAAAAGAAAGTTCTACTGATAAAGATTTTAAATAACCAAAGCATTAATGATGATCAAAGTACTTATCCATTTTTATACAAAACCAAAGCACTACATAATTTTCCAAAGAAAATGGGACTCAGCTTATGGGCTTTAAATCAAGAAGTGGCAGGAGGAAGTGCTGGAAATAGCAACATCCAGTGTTTAGCTTTCATGAACTGAAAAATCCAAATTTATTGAATGCTTAAAGTCCTTAAGGTTATATCAAATATTTGTCTAAATTAGACCCATCAAAATGAATGGGACTTAAGTTAGACTAACATAAGCTATTAACTCCATGACTATGTGCATCATTACATTATTTCAATGAAATGATGCTCACAAGTGAGAAAGAGACTAATTGGTTTTAGTACCAGAAAAAACAAAGCCTTAGGACAATTTGCAATTGGAAACATTTAAGATTTTTTGGAAATTATTCAGGTCCTTCAATAAGCAGAGTAGAATGGGAGGAGCTCCATGCTGAATGTTTGCCATCAACTTTCACTGTTGGCCTTATGCCAGGTATGCTGCTCCCTAAGTGTGCTGCAATGCAATGCAAGCCATGGCCATCTTGCACCTCATATTTAGTAATCCCCTGCAGAGTAATCCTAGAAAAAGCAGCATCCTATACAACTACAGTGTAACAGCCAATACATACATATAAAAGTAGACTAGGATGGCATTTATTGACTTGTTACTAATAGCCAGAAACATTGCAGTAGCAAAGGTCCAGAACAGAAGATAGTCTACATACAGAAGCAGCTATACTATAACCATTGCCTTGGATATTTTTTAGGTAAGCAGCTGATTACTGCTTATGACTAAATTTGCAATTATGGTGAAAGCTCATTTTTCTTTTTAAGACTAGGAAAAATTGCAAACTTCTAAGGCAGTATTTTATATACACACTTTTGTGTGCCAAGGATTTATGTAATCTTCAATTCAAAATAAACTGAAAGTCATTTTACATTTTTAGAATCAGAGTTGGCAGGGACCTCCAAGGTTCATGGAGCCAATCCACTACTAAGCACTCCTAACACATAGCCTGCTTGAAAACTTCTAACACAGAAGCAACCATCACTGTTCAAGTCAACCTGTTCCATTGTTGAGTAGTTTGCTTCATCAGGAAATTATTTTAGTTAAAACCCCATTTTGTAATTTGAATCAGTTAACTCTGGTCTTACTTGCTGGCAGAACACCAAAAGGATTTGTTCCATCATCTATCTTACAGCCTTTCAAATATTTTAGATGACAATCTTATTACCTCCTAATCATCTCTTCTCCAGGCTGAACATACTCAACTCCTTTGACCTTTCCTCACAGGATTTGGATGTCCAGGCCCCTTACCATCCTTGTTACCCTCCTCTGGACACACTTGTTTGTCAATATATTCTTCTTAGAATGTGGTGCTCAAAACTTTAGTTTTACCAGACTGGAACATGTAGTTCACATTTTAAAACTGCAGTTTCAAACACTGTATTAAGAGTATATAGTAAAATAGGTTACAGCTTAGTGGTAGAACATTAGCTTTGCATGTAGAAGATTCTAGATTTAGTCCTCTGCATTTCCAGTTAAAAGGAACTATGGTAGGCTTGGGGGAGAAATTCCACTTGATAATAGAGAACTACTGCCAGTGTTGGGTTAACTGGGCTACATGCCTGACTTGGTATAAGACAGCTTCATGTTTAAAAATCCCTTAACTGTTACGAGCTTGTAAACATCAGAAACAGTAGGCAATTCTTCTCACTCCTTTGAAGAAAATTTTCAACTGCTAAAGAAAATATTGGATCTAACTTAAAATATATAGTGAATGAAGTTATAAAAAGCTTGACAAATATGCCAGAATATTTTAAAAGCTAGGAACTTAACCACATCTGTCTCATATTGTCCTAAAAACAGAAACAAAGAGCATGCCTTTCACATGCCTTTTTTTAAAATGACAAGTGTACATGACCTATTTTCTAAGTGTGGTTCTAAATCCTTGAAGCTTAATTATATGGGTTCAATAATATCCAAGAAAGTTAATTTCACTTCCTCTGAAGGATATTTATTCATTGGAAAGCAATAAGCACCTATCCTCAAACTGTAACCAAATATAGCAATGGTTTCACCACTTAATTCCACTCTTTTGTGTCTATTCACAATACTTCAAGACTAAACAAAAATCTGACACTTCCAAAATTGGTTTCTAGTACAACTTGGATGCAAAGGACACTTCTTTCATAAATGACCAGTTCCATATAGGGAAAACTCCATACATTGGATATACATGGAACTCACTGATTCCCCAGCATGTGTACATGTGGTGAAACACAATTCTGTATGTGTAACATGTTATGCCAAACACCTGATGTTTTTTCTCCCTGGGAATAGTATCTATTTAGAAAACAATTTGTATGAAATAACCCATAGCCATCATGCAAAGCTTACTGCCAGGATTGAATGAGCTTCTTTAGACATACCAAAGGGTTTGGGCATGCCTAGTACAATGTAGTTTTGTTTCAATTCCTTCAATACCTGCAACTCTTCTGCTTGAGGGAAAAAAACAATCAACCCCACATCCCTGCAACTAATTGGATAGTTCTTTGAATCCTGATCTGTGTCTCCAAAAATGGTGACCATATGACAACATCCATGATGTATTCTTCAAGCTTACGCCAAACAAGATATACATTCTTATGAAGTTTCTAAATATTAACTTGTTGTTTGTAATAGTTCATGTTCATCAACCGTTTGTCACATGTAATAACTCAAACTGTTTCTTATATGTTAAACTACATTATAAACAGGTAAGAAATGCAAGGACAGTTACTATCTAACTATAGGGTAAATAACATAATTACAGGAAAATACCACAGTGCAAATGCTAACTATTTAACAATGATCAAAATTATAATTTAAAAAAAAATACTGTTGAGCCTTCATGGTGATGTCCCTATTAATGAAAATCTCAATTAGATGCTATGTGTGGTATCTGTTACAATCATAACACATTGTTATGTGCTCACTGGATTTCTCCCTACTGCAATCAAGAAGCCTGTTGACAAGGGCAATGCAATACAATTCTTAAAACACTGTCGGAAAATGTCAGATTTTGAGAACAGACTTGCAAAGACATTGATAGATCCACAAAAGGTGATAGGTAGATACAAGAATGATTCCTTAAACACTTAGAATAGCTTTAAAAGTGCAAAGGAGTGCATTTGCATTTTCCAGTGTAAGGTCAAAATAAACTGAAAAAATATGTGGAACCAAACAAGGAAATACTTCTTATAGGGGATAAATTAAAATCCCATTTGTTAGACCAGCCTTTCCCAACCTGGTGATCTCCAAATGTTTTGGACCACAGTTTTCATCATCTTTACATAATGGCCATTTGTCCAAAATATCTGAAGGGCACTATGTTGGGCCAGGCTATCCTCAACACACAAAAGATGTAGTCAATTATTAGGTAACCAAATAAACCTACAATATTTGAGGAAATATGATTTTACACTGATTATCTGATTTATCAGATTTGGAAATATGTATACACCAAAGACTTAAAGCTAGGAAATTGTCACCTTCTACAAGTCAAGGAAAAATAAATTTTGCAGATGTCTCATGTGAAAATGAAGTAAATTTACCCTAAGGTAAATGATGCATTTTAAACCCAAAGACATTTGATGTTACCATCTTCTATCAAAACATGAATTCATCTGGTTAAGTTGGGAGTTCACAAGCAATCTGTATGACATCCCACAATTAAAACATACCTATGAAGAATGATTTTTTGATTATACAATTCATCATGTTTCACAAAGCCAGATGTAACATTAAGATAGGCTGTTTGTTTTATGTAGGTCTTACCTCTGTATTGATGCTAGATCTCATCACACCAAGATGGTTTTCAAAAGACATAATTTGTTTTTATGCAAGGTTCTTTTCTGATGTATACCCAAAGGTTCGTATCTATCAATCATTATGATGCAATAATGATCTAAATCAAAGCTAAAAGGTATTTATGGGAGTATGTTTAATTTAATGCAAATTAATACTTCATTTCAAATATTGGAATTGGTCTGTTAACTACTTCATTCTTCTGCGATTTTACCTCCTGTGAAAGAGACTTCACTAAAAGTACACAAGTACTGTTAGTTCAATTAATGTCAAGGATTCTTTCCATTGTATTCTGAAAAAATGTGCACTAAACTGCCCCATGCTGTTGTTCCTAGTATACACTTGGGACATGGCAAGACATCAGAATGTAGCAATGCTTCTGAGCCAATGCCAACCAGCAAAATGTATGCAAAAAGCCCAGACATCATCCCTCTTCAAGAGAACAGGTCAAGACAAAGTAGCACCCTGTTCTCCATTCTTTTATAGTCATAACCCATGAAAGCTTCATATACAATAAGTACCACCAGCAGTGGTCCCTGAATTATGCAGTACAACTATTTCAAGGCATATTTATGTATGAGTGCAGTACAAAAAACTAAGTATACAATGGAATGTAAAATGCCCCACGCCAACGAAGGTACTACCGATGTGCCTTGTATAGTCTGCATATATTTTATCAGGATAAAATTATAAACAGTACTTCTGCCCTGACATGGGCAGTATAAGAATCACAACTAGTTTTTTTTTTTGATTATATACTCTAGTTGAGATCCAGAGTGAACATGACTGCTTCAACAATGTTAAGAATATGTAATTAAATTGCATTTATGTTGTTACAGCACTAGGATTTAGGAGTTCACATATTGTCAGCCATCCAAAGAACAATTGTTATTCAAAACCATGACAAGGTTCACTGAAGTTCTATGGCACCCAAATGCTAAGAAAATCAACACTGACTGTGTGCATGTTCTCACAGCTATTCAAAGCTGATTACCAAAAATGTGATTTAAACAAAATTCACCTCATTGAGTTCTGACCCAGCAGTTCAGTGAACAAGGAGCAAATCCACGGTCCTAATGGCAAAACTGACTTAATCCGTCTCTAAGTCACTAGGTTTAGGGTTAAGAGCGAAGTATATTCCATTTTTATGTTTTACTCGAATTTGACATAATCAATTCATGATTTAAAATCTCTATGTTCTCCTCCAATATGTCTGTAGACATAGTGTGCCACAGACTTTAGACTTCTGCTTCTCCCACTATTTTCTTCAAACAGAACCACTTTGCAAATGTCTACACGTTCTAGAAAGGACACTTTTTTCTGAGATGGCCACTTCTTCAGAACAGTCCGACGCTGTCAGGCCTCTGAAGCAAAGGGGGGAAAAGCTGAAACACAAGGTTCATCTGGTAAGTTTTACATTAAGCAATACAAGCTGGACAGTATAAGAATGTGGCTTTTGGCTCAAAACGTCTGAGTCTTGGTGTGGAAACGAGTACGTGGTTGTCCCACCAAAGCATTCTCTGTCAGGGAAGTCTTGACTGGGGAGTATGTTTTGTTTACCTATCAGGTGTAAATTTCCAGGCACTCAGTTCATTTTGGGCTTGTTCCAGTTTGTCTTTAGTCTGTTCCAGTTCACCTTTCATTTTTAGGAAAAACAAGTTGATGGCTGGGTCTACCATTGTTGATCTCAGTTGAGCAACACTCGGCTGCTGGACTTGCTTGAGGTACTGGATCTGATTCTGCACAAAAGGAAAGAAAAATTGTTAAGTCTGCATTTATAAAGTTTCATGCGTTCACATGAATAATTTCAGTTTGTTACCCCTATATAATTCTTAACTAACATTTTCTTGAATAGGTCAGTAAATTGAACTCAGAAAACACACAGAATATACTTGAAGATTTGGTGCAAAGTATCATTTTATGGAACACTTCAATCCAGTGTTTGCTCCACCAAAGTACTGGGTCGTACAACTGCTTTATATAATCTATCATTACCCAGCATTTATTTCCAAATTTTAACTAATTTCATCTTCAAATTATGCAAGCATGAACAATGAGTCAAAGTGCTGCTATCTGATGACAGCCTAACAAAACCCTAAAATGGGGGCAGGCAACATACAGCCCCCACAGTTGTTTTTTATGCCCTGTGCTCTGTTCCCCTCTCACTGCTGAAATTGCAGCACTGGCAAAGATCACAGCAAGTTTGTAAGACAACAAGGCATGCAAGGAGCATATGCCTTTTTTGCAAGAATAACTTTAATACTGCTTGAAATCAAGCACCCTGTTTCCCTGAGAACTTACTGCAATTTTGGCTGTCAGCATGGTAACAATTTCAGGTGAGATGAACCTCCACTGGCTTCTGAGGAAGAGGGCAGCATTATTTGGGTTTTGTGTCCCCCAAACCCTGTAAGTTGCCCAGCTCAGCACTTAAAACATAAGCAGAGAATGCAAACACTGCCTGACAATTTCTGAATCTGCTACTTGAAAAGAGAAGTATCTGAAAAATATACCATTTTTAATGTGCTGTTTGTAATTCTGTATGCTATTCTATCTCCCCAATTCTGGCCAGGTTTTGAACTTGTAGATAATGTCAAAACTGTTTCTACTCATTAATAGTACCAAAGAGAAATTACCAAAATAGGTGGCTTTGGTACTTCAAGAAAAAATGGCATTCTAAAAGTCCATTCTTACTTGAACTTGAATATGAACTTCGTTTTTAGTAAGACAAACCTCCTCCTAAAATTATTACAACAGAAAGAGAATTCCACTTAACACCTACACTGCTGCCAGTAAAAGCTATTTACTGCCCAACCAGCTAAAACAGCCAAAATAACCTTGAAAAGAGAGCCACTGTAAAATGGATGTTCTTTTACTTAAGAACCTATCACAGCCTTAAAACTGCTAAAAATCAGGAAGTCTAGGTAGTAGGAAATATGCTGTTGTGTATGCTAAGATGTTACGTTAGAGAAAGAGGCAAGGCACCTTGGTTTGTCCCACAGAAGTTCACAGGTAACATGAAGTAGTTCTCCAATCCCTAGCAATACAATCCTAGGCATGTCTACTCAAATCTACTGAGTTCAGTAGGATTTATTCCTGGTTAAGTATGCACCGGATTGCAGCCTTCAGACAAGTCACAGATTGACTGGGTTCACACAATCACAAAGGGGGAAATCAGCTATAATGGCTTACTTCTCCTACTATGTATGTGAGTCACATCCCTTGGGATTTGCATGATTACAATCATAGCTTGCTGTTTTGTGAAAAGCTGGCAAGGGTGGCTTGTTGCTGTGGTTAATAAGCAGCCCAGAACTCTTGCCTTATTTCCTCCCTTTATGATAATACATGCAGGCCTCCTTAACATCATAACAGGGATACAAGTACTCACCCATTTTACTGGGCTATTGTAAAGATATACAAAATCTACATAGTGATATAGAAATAAATAAGAAGAATGAATAATGCAACAAAGGGATATCTTGGCCACATTTATCAAATACAGTTTCCAGAGGGGATGATCATAGTAACTTTGATGCTGAACTGACAGCATTTCTACAGTAAATTCTACAAAAGGTAATGAGAATGTATCTATCAACTCCTAAGCTATAGTCTGAAAAGCAGGGAATTCTATTGTTGAAAATGACCAGGTTTATAGTTGGAATATTTGTCTAATTACTGAGTGTCAACATCCAACAATACTTCATGTGAAGCACAGCAAAGAAAAGTTAAACTTTATTCAAATCCTGTCTGTAAATTCCATTTGAAAACTGGCCAGCAAAGCTGTTGCTGTATTTACCCAGATCTAAGTGATCACTAAATGGGTCAAATAAAACTGATATTTGATTATTTTTTTTACCAAGAAGAAAAGTGATAGTGTTCTCCCTATTAGGTACAGAAAAGATATAGATATTAGGCCTACTTTATACAGCATCATTTCTGGGCCTCCATTAGTCATTTGAAAACTAGTGGAATATAAACACTAAACCAGTGACATAATGGCAGCAAATTGTTAATTGATTAATCCATTATTTGCTGGGTTACATGTGGTAAATGAGCAGCTTCCAATTTGACTATACAACCTCTGACTGATCTGACTGTAAATTGTTTCATGATGTGCAAACATGGACACTATGAGTTTTCATAGATGCACCTAGGGTTGTTAAATCAAAAGTATTTCTTATATACATCACAACAGATTTAACCGTGCAAACATTTTACTGTTATTTTGTACACACTATTGTCAGTGATGCATCTTGGTGAAAGCACCTACAGTATACATTTTGCAAATATCTTCATAACATCTATATTTTGGTTAGGTTTGGAGCTCATCTATGGCAGCCTTCACTTAAAATATAAAAATTAAGCATTTTTATACCTCCATAATGCTGTATCAAAATTTGCATTCTAAGGATATCAACTACTGACTGAAAGTTTGAAAAAAAAGAAAGGAAAAAAGGTCCCTGTAGGATAGAGCACAAAGTCCAAGCGGTTAACTATTCATATACAGGATCCTAAGCTAAAAATAATTTGTAATATATTGACACAAAAACCTTTGCCCCAAACAATGTTAACTTCACTTACAGTACACTCCTGCATTTCTTGCTCCTTAGTGGCCAGCCGCATCACTAAGATATTTTCCCTTCGAGCAGATTCTTGCTGTTGTTGTTTCAGCTTTTCTTCAGATTCTCTCAATCCCGTTACATCATTAGCTAGCGTAAAACAGTAAACAAATCACAAAGTTTATCAGTAGAAGACTTTCAAGAATTTAAGCAAAACCTGTTTCTAAGGAAAAATTATTTGGCCATCATTTTGTAAGCCGCCCCGAGGCTTCGGCGAATGGGGCGGCATAAAAATGTTTTAATAAATAAAATAAATTTTCTTCTCCTCCTCTTTTAAGTTGGCTAAAGCCATTTGTGCAAGAGGGAAACAGAATAGATCCCCTATACCGAAAGTTGATAGCAACACTGAACAAGAAATCCCAGCCCTAGTTCTACTTTCCATTCTGCTACCAACTGTCTACAAAAGTCAGAGGAAAAAGAACATGGAAATGTCATGTCCCATTACAGACATGGCACCCCTCATACTGATGCCCTCGCATCACACTCTACACTTTTAACTTTCTTTCAAGAGGGTTGAGTCATAAAAGCCTACTTCAAATGCATAATACACATCTACATATTTTGCCTACTAATCAAGAATATTCAAATCATAAAGCATGATAAAATAGATTTCTACTCTGAACAGAGAACTAAATGGTAGCTACTTCATTATTTAAAGGGAGATGGTTTTTGTACAATCATGCTAATTAAAATGTCCCACAAATACATACATTTAAGTAAATGGCACTTTTTTCTTGCAGGTGGTATTTTAACGTATTTGGAGAAGAGGGTCAGAGTATCAAGGAATCTGATCATTAGGTTGCATTCATTTCTAATGCCTACTTCCTGCAACAAGCATCAATGGTATCTGCGTGTACAGTTTTGAGAACACCGGGCGGGGGGGAGGACTGGCATTTCCTACAAACAGCATTCATTGAGTTTTGTCAACAGGTTCATACTAATTAAACCAAACCTGAGATAGAACTCTCCTAGGTATGTTAAGAAGACTCCCTGTTGCACTCAGGAGGCATGACATGCTTACCAGAACAGCTATCTGCTACTCCTTAATTGTTGTTTCCAGTACTAATCCCATGACAGGCATGTATAGTCAGAGGGACAATTTAGAGATTCATTTGAATAACTTTAAATAACCTAAACTCAATTCCGAATAACACAGAGGAGTTCAATACTTTCTGTGAAGATTTCTGACTGAATGCCATTATAAACAAAGCAAGTTAAGTTTAATTGCCTAAGGGGAGGTAAGTAGAAATAAAAACACAACCCTAAAGTAATTTTATAAACCAACTAAGGCTGCGAGGATAGGAAACAACTGTTTCAAGCTGCCAATGGGTACACAACATTTTTTGCGCATGCTTACACCAAACTGCATTGAGTATCTAGTGTTTGTGATGCCCTGTGAACTATTTAAGCAACTATGGTCCTTCACCTACCTACCTGTAACAAGTTGAATACTCTACAGGAACATGACATTAAATTATCCCTTACTTGTAAGAATAGAAAACTAGGTGGTAGGGAGTTCAGTCTACCACCTTTAGAATACATACTGAATTAACAGAATTTGGCACATGCTCATAATTTTCATCAAAATTAATTTATAAACCATTATACTCTCCCTTTTATTACTCCTACTGCTTAAGGAGTAGCTTGGGAGTGATTGACACATTCAGTTTCAACTTACAATTAAGATCTGTGTATTTTCCCTCCAGAGCTTGCACATATGCTTCATACTGCTTCCACCTAATGAGAAATGAAAAATATTTTTCACCTTAAAAATGATTAAAATTATGTCTGATGCAAATGGAGAACACATTCTCTCTCCCTCTCTCTCATACACATACAGGTTGTCTTTAAAGTTGCTAAACTTTTTCCAATCGACGACTGTGACCTACACACACCCTCACACCTAAAACATCCTAAAGACCTTATAAACATTGCTAGATCTTTGTTTGCCAGAAATTAAATCAGAAGCTTAGCATCTAGAACACACAACACACAAAAAAGTATAAAGAAAAGAGGTGTGATTTGCAAAGCTTCAGCCCCTCTTGCAGACAGCTGATCTTGCCAGTTAAAAGTTACAGCCAATTCACTCTTGAGCGTGTTCCTACTTCTCATAATGCTTGGTTGCTGTTGAGTTTTTATTCTCCGCTGTAATATTAATTTTGCTGCTACAAATTGCAATTTTAATAAGCTGGTTCAAATCACAGCATAAAATTATTTAACTCATGATAAGTGTGCTGTCAGTGATCCACTTCCATATATTGCAACAAACTGCAGTTAAGGTTGTTGGCATGATGTGTAAATGTGGGCCAATAGGTTGTTTAGGGGCTAAACAAGCTAGTAACTGACCCATGGCTTATTGTTCTGGGATGTTTAGCCCCTAAAGACCCCACTGGTCTAGGTTCACAGAGCAGGCTGGCTTACTCTGACTAAGCAGATCACAGGTTGCCTATAGTACACAGAAGAGGCTTACACATAGGACACATTCTACCTAGTTTTAAGTTAATTAATTAATCTATGACGTGCCATGTTGACATGTAAACTGGGCCAATCTTTCATGGTGATTAGAAACCATTTGAAGCAACCTAAGAATGTGTCGTAAAAATAATTCTGTCAAAGACAGGCTTCAGGTCACCCAATAAGCATAAAGGCTGAATGGAGATCAGAAGCTAGGACTCCTTGGTCCAACTCAAATACAATGTCCAAGCAGGTGCATAAGGTTCACTATACATGGCCTTTTAAATAATTATGTATCAAGTTTCTAATCTCAGGTATGCAGAACAGCATGATGGGTTAACTTCCATCAAAAACAAAGGAAACCTGAATGGCAGTACAATCCTAGTGGTATACTTTACATTCCTTCTTCTGAAACTTTCTTCCAGTTTCATTACCTCTCACAGCCACATGGTAAAATCTGATATTTTAAGTATAGGATTCCAAACCTCCTGCTCCAGATAATTTTTATACTTTATTTTTTTCTCCATAACCAATAGCAAATACTTGATCTTTCAGCTAACTTTAAATTGTTTAGCGATACACTATTGTGATGAAAGAAGCTATTCAAAATGGGACAGTGACAAATCCACTCTATTCAACTTTAAGGTAAGCTATTATTTTACCTTAAGAGCAACTCCTCTCTAGGTAGAACCTTGAAGTCTGTTTCACTAAGGCGAACCTAGAGAACAAAAATAATCCAGTTCAACACTTGCAGCTGTTATTGAGGAAAAACAATACAAGAAGTATGGTTTTTCAATATTACCTTCTTTGGAAGTGGTTCTTCATTAGTCATTGTGAACGCTGAAGAAAAAAAAAACAAATATCAATGTTATTTAGCCATCTTAGAAGTATAACCTGCATCTTTATAGCACAATGAAGTATTAAGGATGCAATCCTATTTAATGATTCCAGTAAACATCTTATAATTTTTAACAATGCTGTATCATGGGGGCTGAAAACATCTGGAATTCAACTATAATGACTCCCCACAGAAAAATATTGAAGCAGAATATGGGTTAAATATGTAAACAGCAACACTAGAGAGTAGTTTACATACATCTTTTGTTTAAAAAATCAATGAATTCCCATTTAAAAATCCTATTTTAGCTTTTAAAAATTGTATCTGAACCAATGATCTAAATGGGATTCTAGAATTTTTCCATGGCCTACAATTACATAAAGGATCTCAAATTTTGCCACTAATTCAATAATATTCTGTATTTAAACCCTTATGTCAGGATCACAGTTTATAACTTTCTATACCTAGTACATTTTAATCTACTACCAAAGTCTTTTGCAAATAATATAGAAAATCATCCAGCTATCATTTATTGTGCTAATATCTTCACAAACCGTTCTCATGTATGCTGGTCATCCCTGATCCAAAATGTAAAAGCTTCCATCTTTTGCCAGCAGAAACTGTAGAAGCACTGTGAGAGTAAAAAGGCTTTACCCTTTACGGTTAATGAGTTTCATTAGATTCAGGATTCATTAGATTTTTGCTACTTCTTTCAGCAATTAACCAATACCTTCCCTATAATTAAAGGCTAGCTTATACTCAACTTTAAGCATAAACATATCTGCATTGTTTCTACTTGGTATAACCAATCTGATGGAAGAAGTTTAACTCCTCCACAGATGGATTTCAAAACATTTGATTATGAAACATCCTAATAAAACTGATTAGGGTTTAAACTTAAGAGCCATACTGGATAAAGATTTACTGAATGTAATGAAATCATCTATGAAGAATGGGTACTTCTAAAAGAGGTGTGTTATTTTTTAAAACCCTTAAATACCTTTAAACCAGGACAAAGTGCAAGCTTACACATGTCTCTTCAAAAGCAAGTCCCTGTGATTTCAATGTGTTCTACTCCCAGGTAAATTTGGGTTGCACTGGATTGCAGACTTATGATGCAAGCCTTACACCATTATCTAGGAGTAAGGTGTACTGACTTCAGTGAGGCTTACTTCTAAATAGATACATACATGCCCATGCTGTTAGAGGCTCATTGCACTGTAAGTTTTAAAATAAAGCCGTCTGAAGGTGTCACGGTGGTGTAGCTGCCTATACAGGTCACTCGTAAATCAGTTTGAAGCCATTCCTTCATATTAGTGTTCAATCAAGCAATTTATGAACCATCTGTTCTTTCAGGGTGTGCCAACCCTAATTTTGTATTAACACGTCTATGTTCAAAGTAACTATAAAAATAAAATCATATCTACAAGATTTGGTGCTTATTAGCTAAGAGCATTACTGAAGCTTGGCTTTTCCCTTTGGGAAATGAGCATCAGTTGTTCTAGTTCTGGAGCTCTGCATGCACTCAGTGCACTGCATGCATGCACTCACGGCATGCATGCAGACTTCCGCTGGTGCAACGGCACTTCCGCTGGTGCAACGGCACTTCCCCCTCCTCTCTCCCTCTGAAGCTGCACAAGAGGACCTCCAACCTTTCACAGAAGAGGTGCACATGAGGAAGGTGGAATCCATTTCCTCAGCAGTGTCCATTTCACATATAATCCTGAGAAAGTTCATCTTCAAAACATGATCTAATTCTAAAATGCCCAACACAAAGCAACAAATGCTATATTCCTATCTGAACAACAGCATGAATTTACTAAGTGTTACAAAAATAACAATATTTTGTTAACTTTTCACTGCTCACCTGAGTAAATCTATTCATGTTGAGTTAGTGATCAATAAACTGGACATGTGTGCCACCAGTGTTAACATTGCATATGGACAGGGCAACTCTTAATGCAATAATATTTATACAATATGGAGCCCACATGGTCAGTTTATCCATAGTCTTCAACTATGCACTGGCCCTCAGATGAATGTTTTACTTTATGGTGCACTGTGGTAGCCATCAGCTGTGTGTCTGCCCAGCAGAGATATTATTTTCAGTTGTGGCAATCAGTTACTATGAACTGCAGCCAGAATTTTCTATTGGACCATTGGGACATGTTGTACTCACTGGAATCTGTCACATTATCAAAAGTAAAGGCCAGTTTGGTGTAGTTGTTAAGCATGCGGGACTGCAGACTTCGGAGCTCCAGGTTCTAGTCTTCACTCTGCCATGGAGCTAACTAGGTGACTTTGGGCCAGTCACACACTCTCAGTTCAACATACCTCACAGGGTGGTTGCTTTGAGGTTAAGATTAAGAGAAATATGTAAGTAAACTTGAGTGCCTCAAAAGGAAAAAGATGGGATATATTATTTTATATATAATAAATAATAAGGTTCCTAGTGACCAAACATGTGGACTGGATTTTTAAAGAAAAACTTCAAGCACCTAAAATCTACGTATTCCACTTGGGAAATGCAGTGTCAGATTTTATGGTATACCTACATGTTGTGGCATACATGAAGCAGCCTCCTATCTCCACAACAATGGTACTCCTAAGTGAAATACTTTAGTTCAAAGCTTAGTTAGGCAAAGCATGTTAATAAACAGTATTAATTTCCCCCATATTTCTAAGAGGCTCTTAAGCAGAAATCAAGCTTTATAAACAAGCAGGGAGACTGATATGCAATTTAACCTACTTTCACTGAGTAAAAACGCAAGAAAAAATACTGACAACTTGAAAAAATCATAACGTTCTAGCAAGACAAATGAATTCCATGTGCTATTTAGGCTAATCCTATCCATATTTACTCAGAAGGTTCTTGGCAGCGTGGCATTTACTTTCATGCAGCGGATTGCCACCATGTCCACGTTTCTATGAAGGAAGATGGCTAAGTAAGCTCCTCCTCTTGTCACAGCGCTCTAGTAAACAAGCCAGGGCTTTCCTGGGGTGGGGAGTTCTGACAGAAAGGCGGCATCTAAAGAAGAATCCATGATGGGGGAGGTGTGCGCGGCGGCCGACAGCAAGATGCTGCTGCTACTGCTGCTGCCGGGCGTGGCGGCGCTGGAGCTCCACGACCTGAGGCTGGGTAATGCCGCAACAGGCGCCGGGTCTGGCCCACCGATGCGTAGTTGGGAAACGGCTGCCCTTCTGGCGCATCTGCTGATCCTCCCCTGCGCCTGACTGGCGGGCCTCCGGTCTTCCTAAGAGCGGTGGCGGCGCCCCGCGCGTGAAAAGACGACGAGGCCACCACTCACCTCCCGCCTGTGGCGACGCCGGGGCGCCGGTCTCCTGCGCGCACCGAATCCCTCCAAGCCGGGGTTTCCCTGTCGCATCAATAACGATGACCGCCGATGCCCCGGCCCAAGAGAGACCGCCGCTGCCAGCACCACGCTCCCTTCCCGCCCGCTCTTTATTTGCTGGTTCGCTGCGCTACAAAATGGCGCCGGAGAGGGAAACGAGAGGAGCCGCCTCGCCCCTTCCTTACCTCCCGCCTTGTCCTAACGAGAAGGCAGAGCCGGCCGCAGCGCAGAGCCAACCGCTGCCACTCACTCGCAGCCGGCCCCTCCCCGGCCGCCAGCGCCCCCCCTCCCCGGCCGCGCGCTCCCTCGCGCCTCCTTGTTCACACTTACCGGCCCAGCCCGCGAGCAACTGCTCCCTGCAGCAGCGGCAGCGGCGCTTTCTTGGCGCCGGGACTACTTCCCTCACCGTCCTTCCACCCCTCCCCCCCGCGTTTTCTTCCAATGCTTGAAAGGCTTTTCGTTTTCCTGCTCAGCGAAAAGACACCGCCCTTTGCGCGGGAAGAAAAGGGGGGGGGCGAAAAAAAATGAACAATATTTTCGAGGCCGGGGGGAGGGGGTGTAGAGGGAAAGATGAGCTCGAAGACCCCAAACCCTCAACTCTCCAGTCCCGCGTCTGTCAGGGTATGCAGTCGCAAAGCATGATGGGAAAGAGGGGGAGGCGGCGGAAGGATTCGGATTTGCAGTTTGTGACCACCTGCAGGAGTGAGGCATATGCAAGCGGAAGGAGATTACAGAAGAGGTTACAGTGGCGGTGGACTGCGTACAGAACCACTTTTCTGAACTTCTAGTCTGCGTGCGAGTTAGTATCAGCGCAGCACCGCGCTTAAACCGGTTTTCTTCGAAAGTTCGGTCTGTCCCTTTTAGGCGCTCCAGATTCTTCGCATGATTGGGTTTCTTTAGTCAGAGTTGTGCGATGAACACAAGGATAAGTCTAGTCGCAAGTGGTGTGACTTCCGAATCAAATAAGTTCAGGATTGCAGCAGCCGTAGCCGCGATCTTAAAAGTAGCTTGCAGGAGCGAACGTGGGTGTTTCGATGTAGGTGGAATATACGTGCCGGTACTCTAAGACACTGGGGGTTATCACTCAAGCTGATCGGCAGCGGTTTCAGGACTAACAAAACAATACCATTCATGACCTAAGTAGAGCGCAATCCTGTGCATATTTAGGTTGGACTTGCATATCCCACTCAAGCCTGCTGTGGAATGCTTGGACTTGCACTACTTTTTTCTCACGGTGGGTAGGCTTGTGCCCTTCCGGAGATCAGTACCACGAGAAGCGACCAATAAAGTTGACGGTTCACCAAAAGGATTGCGGCCCAAATTAGTAATCCTATTCTAGGCGTGATGGCTAGCTGGAACTCCCCCATTCGGAGTGGATAGTAGTCCGAACCCTGTGGAGTCAGTACCGCCGTTCCGACTTTTCTTTAAATATCTGAAGACTTATCTACAGATTTTGGATGCCTTTAGCACGACCTTTCCATACCTTTTAGCAAGGTGCGGTTTTGATGTGTGCACTGACATAGATTTCATAGGTTAGACATTGGGGAGGCTCTTAATCGCCCCTTAATTTTTCAAGTAGCAATAAAATATTTCTTCAACTATATGTTAAGGGCAGCTGGTAGAGCTCCACATCTTGTATATATAAGAGCCACATAAGTTCACTACTTTATCATGGAACAACCATGCAAGAAGGAAATCTGGTACTGAGTTCAGAATTTATCATGCTGTAAAACGTCATTGTTTGCTTTTGAAAAATAATATGGCTGTTGCAATAAAGGTTAATACTGAAAGTGTATAGGCACTTTCAAAAGGAGAGAAGTTGAGCAGGACTTAAAGAGCTGGGATTTTGCATGGCTTTCACACACATTGAATAAGCTAAGCTATAATTGATCTAAGTAGCTGATCTATATAACTTGTTCCATGATCTAAAACTTCTCTTGAGGTGACATTTTGATTTATTTAGGGAAGATTTATATGGCCCTAAATATATCCTTTAAACAGAATGCTGAAATTACTGTCACCTCCCAGGTCACTGTATAGTGTTTGCAGCTCTAGAAATGGAACTTTTAATGGAATAGTCATTAGATCTTGAACAGTGACTGAGAGAACTGGGTTTGTTCATCCTCAAGAAGGGCAGATTGAGAGGGGATATGAAAGCATTCTACAAGAATCTCAAAGACTGTCACAAAGAGGAAGGAAAAGATCTTTCACTCATCCCTGAGCATAGGTCACGGTACAACAAACTTAAACTACAACATACTAGATTCAGGCAGGACACCAAGAAAAACTTCCTAACTGTCAGAGCAATATAACAGTGGGACCAGTTGTCAAGAGAGGTCATGGGCTCTCCCACACCAGAGACATTCCAGGTGAAATTGGACAGATATCTGAGTGGGATGGTGTAAATTGGTGTCCTATACCAGTAGGGTTTGACCCTTCAAGGCCCCTTCCAACCCTACTATTCTATGAATCTATGTGCATATTACCTTACATTTCTGTCTGCATGCACATATATTTATATCTTAAAATATGTTAAAGTGTTATATTCCTGTCATAAATTGGTGTGGATTTGGAACCCTTTCCAACAGAGTCCAATCCAAACTACAGAGAAAAACCATTATCTTCACCCCATGCTTGTGAGCTTTTTTGGAGGAAACTCAGCAGGGGAAACAATACTAAACTATGATTCTTGGTCTGATCCACCAAGGTAGTTAATAATTTCTTTGAGAGAATACACTTTCAGCCCTATACACGCATCGCTGGAGTGAGTATCACTGAACTCAATGGAATTTACTTCTGACTGAACATACTCCGGGTTTCACACATGCAGAATAAGTGAGGCCCCCAGATTTCAGTGCAAGATAGAATAAATGTAAAAAGTACTATATAGGCTTTTAAATTTTACTAATTGTAAGAATTAGATTTAAAAGCATATTGCAAGTTTCTCAAGCATTTGATTAAATTTCTTTACTACAACTTGTCCTATGAAACACATTGTTTTAAAGAGTTGGTGTTCTATGTAAATAGGGAATCCTGGGGAAACTTTCTTGTTGAGGTCAAGCATTACAAATACGGTACAAAAGGTCAAATTAGTATTATTATGGGGTTATCTTTCACTAAGTGGGGGGACTGCCTCTCTAATCACTTCCACACTGTGTGCATATCTGAATGATCTTGTATATGCACAACAATTTACTTGGTTTGCCAATTGTGAATACTCAAAGTACAGTTATAGCCAAGTCTACTCACAATTAAGTCCCCTCTGAATTTATTGAGGCTTATTCCCAGATAAGCAGTTAAAAGAAGAAAAATCGCTCTGTTCAGTAACTGTAAGTCTTCATTTCTGACAAGTTTGGGGCCTGTAACTGTTTCTAAACAGAAATATGCTTGTGTGTAAAATCACATATGCAACAAAGAGCAGCTGTTTGGGTTATTAGCCAGTTTATGTAGTTAAAATTATTTTTCCAATTATAACAAATATACACTTCTGTGTAGCACAAATGCTCTATTTCAGGGGTGGCTAAACCAAGCCTTGGGAGCCACATATGGCTCTTTGAGTTTATTTTGCAGCTCACCGTTTGCTGCTGTGGGTGCCCATTGGCGCCCACTTGCCACTCAGCACCTGCTGCCACCACCTGTGAGCACCTGCTTGCAGCTCTCAAACATCTGATATTTATCATATACAGCTCTTCTGTTGCGCAAGTCTGGCCACCTCTGCTCTATTTAGTTGTAAGTTTGCTACATTAACACTTTAGTGGCTAGATCAACCAAATTAGCATGTGGCACTATTTAGAAAAAAAACATGTAATTATAAAGTTGATATAATTCAATTATTTAACAATCTTTTTTCTTGGTGATTTGTGCTGGCTATGTGCTGTCTCCTTTACCAGAGATGGCATGCCTGCATACTCAAGTTGCTGAGGATCTTGAGCAGGAGGCAGTCTTACACCTATCCCGCTTGAGGGATCCTGTGGGCGGCTGTTTTGGCAGCTGGTTTGCCACCATGTCTATAGAGTAGTGGACCAGATGGACCTTTGGTCTGATCCAGCATGGCTTTTCTTATGTTCTTATGATTTAAATAAATCTACCTTGATTTATTCAGACTTATTTCCAAGCAAATTGACATTAGAGTATGCTGCACATTTGCAATCCAATGTATACATATTGGGGAGCAAGCCCATTTAATTTGGTTTATGTTATTACATCAGTTAATATGATTTGATTCATACTAATAATTCCAGCAGAATAGCCTTTTAAAAGCCAAACCAGATATTACCCTTGTATTGCTTGAAGTGGCATGCTCATGTTTTCTGTACATTACTACTATTAATTTTTATTGGGACCACAGTGCAGAGGAAGATGAATAACCTTCCATCTAGTATCTCCTCCTGTGTGGTACTTTGTGGGTGTGCCTGTATCAACTGTAATTAAGATGCTCTCTGTGCAAGAGAAGAATTAAAAAGAAAAAACTGCCAAGAAACTGGGAAGAAGTACAAACTTCTACAAAGGAGAGCTCCTGTGTAAGGAACTTGACCAGGATCTAGAAGAACCCTTTAAGCAGAATTGCAAAGCAAAAGGTCATAGCTGATTTAACTCTTGCCGAGGGAAATTTAATAATGTAGCCAAATCAAGGGCCACAGGTCATGAAAGCACTACACAAATGTATGATGAGGAACAGAGAATATTAATCCTTCAGGATGATAATCCAGGGAGACTGAATAACAGCTTGTGTGCTCATAGGATCGGTAGGAGAGACAAATCAGATGATACAGCCAGAAGACGTAGCAGACGACAACGTGAGTGACAGGAAACAGTACCCCAACATCACAGATGAGAATTGGCAGAAAACCAGTGCTTCAGTTTGAGCAGGAATACCATTGGAAACTATACGTAGCAGTAGTGAATGGGATTTATTTCAATTATATTCACAGCCAAGCCTAGCTAACACT